TATCAGTGTGCTAAATGTAGTATGTGTTTAATGTTGCCTGAGGCAAAATTGTTCTCCTTTACTTATTAGAAACTTGTTTGTGGACTGCCTTGAATAGGTCACAGCAAGGATTGCTCTGGTTCTGGTGTCAAACCATAGAAAGGGGTGAAATGCTTGACACATCTCTTCACTAATGCTAACAAATTGAGAAAGAGGGGGTGTCACATGCTAAAAAACATAATTGGGGTTAATATATAACATCCCCAACCTCATACCCAGTGTAATTTTCCCTTTTTTGGTGCCTCCACTTCTCCTGCAGATGTTATCATGTGTGTTTGTTGCCATCAGCCCCTCGCTGAACAAATCCTGAGGTTACTAAGGCTCCTTTCTGTCACGTGAGAACAATGGGTGTCGTGTGTACTTTAAATGTGCCATGATTGCAGAAATGTTTCCCAGGCTTTCCCCATGGGTCAGGGCATGGTGTAAAAAGTGGTGTTTACCTACCTTGCAAGAGGTCAAGATGTCCAAGCAGGGCTGTGTTCACATATTCAGCACCATAGAAACTTAGTTAGCACTCTCTGGTTTTGTGTGTAACATGTAATTTTTATTTCATTGATGATAGGGTGTTTTATTGTTTTTTTTTTCCTGCACAATTTGCAACCAGATTAAAATGTTGAATTAATAAAAGCCATTCCATGTCCTGCATTAGCAATGTAGATCCAAAAATGTCCATTTTATAGGAGTTAATAATATGTTCATCAAAATCTCTATAGTCAGGTAATGGTCCAACAAAGAAATGCTTTTTCTTAGGGTAAGGATGGAGCTGTAGTTCTTTCACTTTACCAGGAATTTTGCCTCTTGCAAAAAGAGACAATAACATACTGAAAGGTTTTCTGATCATTCATCAGCATTAAAACGAGAGAACTCCTGGTAAATATCTTGATGTACGTGTTAAAATCCACATAGCATTAGACAACATTAAAAACTATGCTTAAATTTCTGAAGAATAATGATTGTGTTTCTCCTCACAACTGACAGAGCAAAAAATTGGCAACAAATGGCTTGATTGCTTTCATTTATTTAATAATTCTTTCCCAAAAAATAACCACATGTGATTGTCTGGCCCAGGTTGTGCCACATTACTTTGCACAGTGTCTCTCCTGGAATATGGTGCATGTCTTACCTTAGCATTGTTAGAATAGCATTTCCTTTTAAACTTTCCAGAGTTTTCATGCGGCTCTTAATGGAGAGAGGAGCAGGCAGGAGGTTTTTTGCACTGTCCTTGTGAGTCAGGAGAGATCTCTGTGCAACTGCTGGTTGTGTGAGAGGCCTGAAACCTGGTGGACAGCCAGTGTGCCAGGCAAGGTCTTCACTTGTTACTGGTGCCAGATTAATGGCAAAGCATGTTGTGTTGTTACATTTCTATAATTCAAAGTAGTTACAGAATTTTAAATGGGGGAAAAAAAACTCCAACACTTTTGCCTCCATTATCAAGAAATTTTCTTTTTCCTTATTGAAAAGCTGTAAGGACCTATCATCACATGTTACCTTCTAAAGTAAAACCAATCTCTAGGTGTTATGTGTGAACACCTAAAACAGGAAAAGTCTGAATGTGTTTCAAGTGGCATAATAGTCATCCTTCAACACAAATATATTGCAGAGGAGAGGTGCTTTCCTTGGTAATTATGCTGAGTTTCTTGTATGACATCTGTTATTCCTTCAGGACTATTGCTGCCATTTGTACTTCATTGGGTTTTTCAGATGAAGAATTACCTTTTTTGGCCATGTGTTGTTTTTTAATATCTTTTGGCTATTTGTCATCTGGGATGACTTATCTGTGTTAATCATAATAGCAAAGAAACATGGTAAGATTTTGGTGATACAGAGCAGCAATTAAAAATTTGTCAGAACACTTCTAAAATAATTAAAACCTTTCCTGCTGAAATTAGGCTTTTCTGGAAACATGAACCCTTAGGCCTGGTGCTCCAGGCAACATAAGTAGCTCAGGATTAAGCTATAAAAACTTCTGATTGTCTTGACAATTGAATTTTAAAGAATTAGAAGTCTGAGAGTCAGATATCTCTAAGGCTGTACAAACCACAAGATCCTTAGAATGTGTTTGTAGGACAGCTTTTATTTGTAGGCAGGCCTTGAGAGCTTCAAATGCTCTTTTTTTTTTTCCACTTCCCCCATTAGTGCAGAGAGAAGATGACAGATATTACTGAGCTCCTGACAAGTTGCAGTCTGCTGGGATTGATGTGTTACATATCTTTCCTTTAATAAAATACTTCACTTGGTTAAGTGCTTGTGTTAAAGAACTAGGTGGATTTCGAAAATATGCTGTGAGTGTAAGTGTAGGTGAGCTATGGACTTAGAAGCTGTGAAACTTTGAAGTTTAAAAAAAAGAAGTTGGGGGTTTGAACATATAATCTGTCAGTTTTTTCCCCCAATTTTCTTGATAAACAGCTAAATTACAGTTTCTATTGGATTATAGTAATTTGCTTCCAAAAGTTTTTGTTTATAATTTTTTTTTTTCATCTTCCACAAGAGACTCCTTTAATGTGTCAGTCAGCCTGTCAGGTGTTGGACTTCAGCTTAGGGACAGTAGGGAACCACGCAGGGCATTGACTTTCAGGAGTGGCTTTTGCTTTATGGATAATCTAAAACTCAGCTGGAAGAATTTGTAAGGAACAATGTTTTGTTTTCCTGTTCAGCTGTTACCAGAGATATTGATTTGGGCTTGTAGTGCAATGACAGTTGCTGCTTTATTCTAGATACCTTCATGGAAAAAGACATTAAAGTGGAGAGCTACTAAAACCAAAATCACTGTTAAGAAAGAGAAGTACTGCCTTCCTTCAAACTGGTGGATGTTTCCTAAACACCGATCCTGAGTCCATTCTGGGAACATGTGCCTCTCCTTACTGACATGCAGAGAAGTTGATGTATGAAGACCAAAGATCAGACTGTAATCAACACTTCTGCCTTTCTTTTTAGTTTTTAGCATGCATTAGTTTTATCATTTTGCTCTTTGTGGTCCAATTCATCTCTTTGTCCCTCTTGGTGTACACAGCTTTCCCTCTTCTCTGCATGTCCCTGGAGAGGAGGAATAACCCCAGTGTATACAAAAGTGAGGGTGCTTTCTGAGCCCCTTCTCTCTGTTCGTGTCACTCTTCATTTTTTTTTTTTTTTTCACTCCTCGAACTTAATCCGGATCCCAGCATTATTTGGCCAATGAAAAGTAAATGTCAAATGAAAATTTGACTGCCTTAAAATAGAAGTACTCCAGGGGGCAGCTTGTTTTACTGAAAATGAAGTCAGAGGTTGTCTTGAGAGATTTTGGAGTCTCCAAGCTTGGAGGTGCTAAAAAGATTCCTGGGCAACCAGCTTTAGGTGTCTGCTTGAGCTGGGGGTGGATCAGGTGACCTCTGAAGGTCCTTGCCAATCTCAATCATTCCATGATTCTCCAGAGGTTTTCTCCATGTGCCCAGGGGGGAAAATTCTGTGCCTTTCATTCCTTTCAAATAGCAGCTATTTGGCAAGTACTCTAATGTATGTAAGTATGAACTAATGTGCCTGGAACATCAATGTTTTCACAGGGCACAGTCTTATGGGTGCCTAATTGAGATTAAGTATTTACCTATATGCTTTAAATGTCTTAATTTCTTTTTTATCCTGGACCATTACCAAATATTCATTAGTGTCTATGACAGAATATTTCTATTTATCACTTCACCAAAGTTCTTTAAAGCATTATGATTTCACTATATTTAAATGAGTGTGAATCCTAGTCTGTGTGTGCTATGCAACATAAAAATTCTTCTGCCCTGAGCAGAATGGAGAGAGTTGTCAGTGGTGATCTTCCTGTTCTGCAGAGGACTGGTGGAGGAGAGGAACTGGTGTGCTGCAAGAGCTCAGTGCTCATGGTTAGAATGCCTGGGGTCCTCGTTCCTGCTTGGATGCAGTGATTATGTAGAGACTGTAATTTTTAGGGTAAATGTCATATGAAGATTAGCCTTAAGTAACCCCCTCGTTAAGCAGTGAGGGAAGATGTGATAAAAATAGAAAAAATAATAAAATAAATGTTGTGCTTTTAACTATCAAGTAGTCTTTGCAATGAAATATCCCCAAGCTGGGGTGAACCTGTATGAAAAACAAGTTAGATTTGTTCGTGGAGATGTATACTGCAAACAAAGGAAAAAAAAAAGTAAAATGTTAGTTAAATATCAGTCTGATGGTTCCTTAATGGCGTGAATGCCTGAAGAAAGCATCCCAATCACTCTATTGTTCAAAATTAGTTAAATTAGTGACAACGGTAAATCTGATTTATACCAGTAAAAAGTAAATAAAAAGTAAATGTGATTTTTTTTTTTTGTTATTTGCTGTCTATATATTAGCGAATGGAGCATCAGCTGTCGGATTGTTGTTCCGTTTTGCAGAGGTGTGCCCGGCGGGGCGGGAGCCGGGAGCGGCAGTCCCGCAGCCGAGCGCTGGAGGGCTCCGCAGACTGACGGCTGCCGAGCGGATCGAAGCCAATCGCTGCATTGTACCTGCGCAGCGTTTAATGCTTGCCGGGCCGTTTGGCTATTTGCCATAATTGGCTTTCCATTCCCTTGATTGGAATCATAGATAAAAATTTGCTAATCCACTTTCTTTGCTGAAAGTATTAGAAAAGTAATCCATCTTTTAAAAATGCTCGAACAAAATCATACGGTATAAAGAGTACTTTATGGAATAATGAGATTAATGAGAACTGTAAGGCATATGCAATTTAAAACGTTTTTCTATGGGTTTAAGGGGAAAAATGCAATATGGGCACTATAAAGCCATAAGTACTTCCTTTTTTTATGCACTGCCTTTTAAATGTGCATTACATGTTATGCTTTTGTCTACATGATAAAATGTAAGTATGTATTTAGGGAGAAGGATCTGCTATTTACTTGTAATTTTGCAAACATTTGAAAATACCTGATTCAAACTTTTTGGCTGTGTTTTTTTTCCTCCCTCCCCTCTTCTGCCCATAGGGCATCAGAGCACGGATTTTGGAAACCCTTGTAATGCTCATTCTTCTTGCACTGCTTATCCTTGGAATCGTATGGGTGGCTTCAGCACTCATAGACAATGATGCTGCCAGTATGGAGTCTTTATATGGTATGGAATGCAAAAGAACCTTCACCCAGTCTCATTGTAAATACAGAAAAGCAGGTTTCCAGTTAAATGTATTTCTAGTACATGCTATGTGAGTATTGCACAGGTTGTGAAGAATGTATCTTAATTCAATCAGCACCATTTTGATGTTAAATTCTGTGACGTAAGTAGCCTCTTGGTAATTAGCTAAAGTTGTGCTCAATGTTTTCTTTACAGACCTCTGGGAATTCTACCTCCCATATTTATATTCCTGTATATCACTGATGGGATGCTTGTTACTGCTGTGTAAGTATTTTTCTCGTTATTCCAAAAGATGAATGATAGTATGGTGGGGGATTTTTTTGTGTATTGTGTTCAATTTTTTTTAATGGTTAAAGGAAACTTTTTGATTGTCAAAGTTGAGTGGGATTTTCTTTTTCTGATTAAATTTAAATTTAGATGTGAATTTGTTAGGTTTGGGTTCTGAAGTTTAAATAAATGATACCTTAGATTTTCAATTTTTCAGAAACTTTCCAACTCACCCATTTTTGACTAATAACTTGTTAAAGCAGGTAGTTGAAAAATAGGGACTCCATTCTGCAAAGAAAAGCACAATTTTTAAATGGAATGTCTGCAGGAGGCCGGTAATATGGTGAGAAAATGATTTTGGAACATTTTGTCCTATATTCATTATAACTACCATTCTTCCTTTTGTAATTGAAAATGTTGCAGTATAGGCAGGAGTTGGAAGGCAGTGCAGCCAGCTTTCATAACCACACAGCTGGTCTCTGGCCAGTCTGCAGGTCAGTTACACAATTGCATTTGAAGCAAATGCAGTAAAAACCCAAACTTACACCAGCTGCTCCTAACCAGAATTCAGTCATCCATGTTCAGGGGAATAAGAAACATGGAAGGCTCCAAATCCCACTTACAGTCTCAGCCCCCTCCTTGAATAATTTCTAGAAAGTGGCTGAGAGGGACAGAACATCTACTTTTCTAGATTACTGTGGTTTCGTCTCTTCTCTAAGCTTGACAGGTTCAAAGCTTACATGGGGCTGTCACTGTGGAGAAAGAGTGGGGAATGATAATTTTGATGTCCTTTAAACAGATCTATGAAAGAGACCTCAGTTAGTCTCCTTGGGTTCTCTGTATGTGCAGATTCTCAAATCCCCTTTGGAGGAAGGTGGGAGGATTAACAGTGGGCTTCTCAACATCTTGTGCAGGCTGTTCCAGAGTGGCATTGACAGAGGTGCTGAACACTTTAATGGGAAGTTGGTTTACAAAACTTGAAGTCTGCCCTGCAGTTTGCTCCAGCAGAGCTGAAAACTCAGCCTCTGTTCTGGGGCTGTTGTAAACCAGTTCACTGAAATTATTGTGACTAAATGCCAGGTTTTGGAAATGTGTGACTTAAGCAAATCACTGAGGTGAAGGCCTCCAAAGCTGTTAGATCTGTATAGCTGAAAGGGCAGTAGGGGCAGCTGCTGGGGCAGAGCTTTAGATCTTCAGCTGGTTTAATTGCTGAAGCAGTGATTGGATAAAGCCTATTGCAGTGATGATTTGAAGCATCACTTTGTTTGTCTTTTCTCCTTTTCCTGCAGGATTCTTCTGCACTAAAGGCAGACTAGCTTAAGTTAGATTTTTGAATACTCCTGTATTTTTCCTGTAATATGCAGTAGCTGTAGTGAAACACTAGTTAATAAAAATAAATGCAATCCTCATAATAAAATCTTGTCTTGTTTTTTTTTTTTTGGCAACAATGTTTTATTATAATGGAAACTATAGGTGTACATGCTCATCTATATTGTTATAAATTCTTTCATCTCTGACATATTTCAGTATTTGAAGGCTGTTTTCTCTAAACTGTTGTTTTCTGCTAATAATTTTCTATTATCATGGTTGAGCCTTTCTCCCAAGAAGCATACATGCATCATTCCTGAAAACTATCACAGACTAGGATCAGAAAGGGCCTGTTGTTATTTCACAGAAAATAATCTAATGTCTGGTAGCTGAGTCTACTCTCAGTGGAAGCTGAAGGATAACTTTGAGACCAAAGCAGCTTCAGGATCTCTTGGCCTTGCAGCTACACCTGTGCTAAAACATGAAACGTGCCCGAGATGTTCTCCAGTGCTGTGGCCAGCCAGTGTCACTCCATCCAGGATATTGCAATCTGTGCAGCTTTGGCTCATGATAATGGTCCCTGGGCTGCCTGAACTCCAGATGAGCACTGAGAATTATTTGGGAAAATGTTAACTGACCCAGGGCAAATCATACCAGGAACAGTTCTAACCATTTACTGGTGTAGGCAATCCAATCTTAAAGCCCAGGAATCCAGTGCATCCTGGCACTGCTGAATTTACTAGTGAAGACATAGCTTTTGGTGCCACATGCTTTGAATAAATAATTAATTGAGCAAGTTTAAGATCTCTGATCATGTGGTGTTCCTTGTTGCCAAAAAAAAAAAAATCACATTAAGGTCTTGGACGGGGGAGAAGCTTGTCTTGTTCAAAATTAATGTGATTGCAATGGGCTTGAAAGTTCATGTTGAGCTTTAAGCTCTTGCACTTCTTTTCAAAAGAAGAAAATGGTTGTATGAGGAATAGCACATTAAGCATCCAAATAAAAACACCTGGTCTTTGACTTAGAAGTGACTGTTCTGCATGCTCTTCCTTCCCCCGCAGTGTGCACGCCAGTGGGGCTCTCACGGATGTTTACAGTAATGGGTCAGTTGCTGGTGAAGCCGACAGTAAGTGCTCCACAGTTCTGTGCTCCCGTGCTACATGTTTCTGTCCTCCTGTGTCCTCCTGTCCTACCTGTGAGAAGGTGGAATGGTATTTGGGTACTTTCATCTGGAATGCTTACACTTCTACAGAACTCTGCAGTTCATTGGTTTCTAGAACCACTACTTACGTACTCATTTCATGTTTTTCATACAGCACAAAAGCCTGTTTTTTTCCAAAGTTTTTCTTATAATAATACAGACTTCCTCTGATTTTTCGGTCTGTGTCAATGCTACTAATATTATTTATTATCAGTATTTCCTGCTATGTTTTACCAGTGCCTGAAAAGCGTGGGCATATTCTGAGTTCAGTAGCAAAGAATACAAGAGCAAACAAAGTCTGGATAACAAGAGCGGTACCTGGGATATACACAGATGGGTGAAATGTGGGTAGTCATCTTTAAGAGCTTGTTGTTACACACAGATGCTCTTTGGTTCATGTTCTGAATGCTGCGAGGGAAGGGAGGAGTTTGTACCACATACAAGTGCTCTAGTGACTTGGGTGTCAACATGTCCTGGTTTGTATTTACTAATATTTGGGTGCACTTAGATCTTGCTTTCCTTTTCATTAGTCAGTTCAACCCTGGAAATTCAAAGAAAATACCTACTATTTTTATCTTTAGTCTCAAAGCACCTGGTAGCTGAGATAGACTGACTTCATTTATTTGGTTTTATATTTGCAGGAAATACTTGCTTATATGAAAAGTTGCTTTTTAATGCAGTTTTTCAAAATCTTTAGTTATTTTTGTTTAAATTGGGTGTGAAGGGTGATACAATTTGAATGTAGGTCAGACATACTGTTCTGTCTCTTTAGATTGAAACTAAATATAAAAGCCTTAACTTGAAATAAAAACTTTAAAGTAACTTTTCTTACAGTAAAGACATAATTGTGTGACAGAATGGAATAATCTTCTGTGAAGTTCTTACTTGTGTCACTATTGTAAAGTTGTAGACTGTATATTTAAAGTACAGGTTACAGGAGCAAAGTGAATCTGATTATGTAAGTTCATTCAGGACAACAAGTGTTTCTGTTTGCAAATACAGATCTTGGAAGACCTAGATGAGCAGATGTATATCATCACTTTAGAGGAAGAAGCAATTCAGAGGAAGCTTAATGGTATGTATGTTACACCTGTAATGGTACTGCTTCAGATGCAGTATTTAGAGCAGAGTGATTCTGGTCAGGAGTCTCACTGTTGTGCAGCGTCTTCTGTCAAAACAGAAAATTCCACCATCTTAGCCTGTAACAAATGTTACAGGTGTACATTTCCTCACTGGGTTTTCCAAGATTGGCTCTTATGCATGGTTTGCTTTGGTTTTGTTTTTGAATTGTTCGTCAGCTCTCTAATGTGGGAATGTTCTGAGCCTGAGAGAGCAATTGAGTAGTTGTCCAGACTCACCACCCTTACTGCAAAATAGCTTGGATTGTAAATGACTCTATTTCAGCCTTGTTTGAAGGACAGTGAACTTACATTAGCAAGAGATTTGACTTCCTGCAATATGAGTTTTTGTTTTTAATTTGAAGGATTTTTTGGTGTTTTAGTTGACTTGTTTGAAGGACAGTGAACTTACATTAGCAAGAGATTTGACTTCCTGCAATATGAGTTTTTATTTTTAATTGGAAGGATTTTTTGGTGTTTTAGTTGATTGTTATTTAAAATCTTAGGTAGTAATCCATTAAAAATCAGAGCACTTCTTTGTATTCTAGGAGTTATTTGTTGAATTTAATAAATAAAAACATGCTGTTAATAGGTAATGAAAATTAATAATTACAAGAATGTCTTTAGACTTAATGTATTAAGTCTTAAAATTTTGCATTTATTGATAAGGTGTTTCTGTTATCAAGTGTTTAAAAAACATGAAGTATGAAGTAAAGTATGAAGTTTTGACTTAGAATAGAGAGAAGTGTTGCAACAGGCAGGCACTACTTACGGAAAATTTATTGGTTCTGTAAACCTGGAAATCATGTTGTACAAATCTTTTGACTTGATTTTAACTGCGTGCATAAGCCATCCATCTGTAATTTATGCAACTACTGCAGTTTTGAAAACCAAGGAATTTTCATGTAAGGTAGTACCACAGTGTATGTGACATGATGACTTATTTTAGCCTTAATTTTTAAAGTTTCCTGTTTTTTCTCTCCTGCTTTTCAGTCTTCTGTCATATATCTTAAGCTTTCCTTCTCTGAGGTCTTATTAAGTCTCATTTCGAACTTGCTTGGTCAGGGGAAGTACCTTTGATAGCAGAGATCATGGTGGTCATCTTTATTCCAGTGCTTAAAATTTGTGGAGGAGTAGTGACTTCTTTGTGCTTAAATCAGCCATCACTTCAGTTTACAAGTAACATTCACCTTTTCAGATGTTTATAGTGACACACTATGTGTGCATTTACACACAGGCACACAAAAAGATGCAGCAGTGAGTGTCTTTGAAGCTGTGATGGGGTAATGATAATCATTCTGTGTGTTTGATGTTAGCTGGGAACTGTAAAATATTTGTTATTGAATATTTTATGTTGTCATGGTGATTCTGCTTGTGTACAACACAGAGCAATGACCCAGTAGTTATTCAGGAATCTATTGGAGGTAGTGTTCAGATGGGGAATGTGATTATTTAGGTGATGCTTGGCTGCTCTTTTTCTTGCAGAAGTCTCTCAACAGTTGCTTATGTTGCAGTTTGATATCACTTGTGGAGTGGACCTAGGCTGTTTGTAGGTGCCCACTAACTGGGTATGGATTTAGAATGTGTGCCAGGAGCTCCCCTAACACCAGCCAAGAGACTGGATTTGCTTTCAGCACGTGGCTTGGTATTCAGTGAGAAGTGGAACTGCAGCCCACCCATATTCCATGGAGCACTCACCAGCCTGCGCTTGGGCAGTGAAAGACATGGGGCTTAAATATCCTGAGACAGGAGAGGAACTGGATTCCCTCTGTTTCCAGTGCTGAGGGAATGGCATTGACAGCCCCAAAAGGAATGCTTGAAAACCCCTAGATTGGTGTACAGAAAAAAATAATGGAGTTAAGCTGAAAAATAAATGAAAATCTAAATTTTCATCTAGCATGTAGTTGGGGCAAGATGCTATATGTGCAGGAAAAAGCTTTGCAGGATTTTTGTAGTAGTTACTTCAGTAAATTTAAGCACAATTCTCGTTATGGTGAACATGGAAACCTTAATCTCTGCCAGAAGGCTTTCTAATACATACAAATTATGTCAAAAACAATGATATCGTTATTGCCAGAACTATGAAAGGTCATGCTTGCCATGGTTATTGCTTTTTAAAAACTGTGTATAAATGGGGGTGGTGCTAATTACATCAGTAAATGTCATGCTGTGATGTTAGAGTCCATAACCTGTGTTTTAGTATGCAGATTGTCACTCTGTTGCTGCATCACAGTGGATATATTCAGCTACACACTTCCTCTGCCATGGCTGTTGCAACTCTTCCACGGTGTTGGTGGTGGAAATCCAGTGGTGCTTAAGTAACCCTACTGGGCAGGTTTCCAGTGAAGTCCTCTGAAATTATATACTTTATTTATATGTATAACTAAAGAGTTGAATTTTGATTAAAATGAAGAGGACCAGAGCAGAGGCTTAAGTGATACTTGATGATTGTAAAGCTTTTCATATTTGAAAATAAATCTATCTGTGAAACTGTAGATCTTCTTTGTGGGAACTAATTTTCTTCCTCCTCAGGTGTCTGCAGTGTCTAACTGAAAATCAGAGGAGGAGGGAGGGGAAAGTTTGATTGTGTTATCTACCCTAGTATTTTTATCTATTGAAGAGATACTGGGCTTTGGGAAAATGTTTGTTTCCAGTGTATTATATTTCAGTACCCACATCACTCCTACAGTTGAAAAATAAAGCTGGGACTTTTTTATATTAAAAGAAAAAAGTTGCCTTCAGCTATTAGTTTTCCTGAATCCAAAGAGACGGGTGGGGTAGGATCAAAAATACTTACTTGATCAAAGTTATTGGCTCTGAAGGTATCCTTACCTATGTAAGAAAGATGAAAGGTGTTTTTTTTATTGCACACTAGTAACAGTGTAATTTTGAACTAATTGGTGGTGAACTGCCAATCACCTTGGGGGAATGCAAATAGATACTCTTACAATTTCCTTTGAGGTACTGAAATCTTATGTCGGAGCTGGAAGAAAAACAGAATAATACCGTTAAATTGACCTTAAATGAGCTGCTTTGTGGCTTTCTTGGAGAATCCCTTCTAACTTTTCATTGCTAGTCCAAACAAGTCTCGTCTACCAATTTGATTTATTGGCTAGACAGCGCTGACATTGAACTTTGTGCGTGTTTGAAATAAAGCTAATGTTAAAGAGCTTTTAGGAATTTAGCCGCATCCTTTCCAAATACTCTTTTGACTGATCTGAAACCTTGCCTCTCTCATAAAATATCCTTTTGTATAGCAACCTGTTGTTTGCAACTATTTTTAAGGAGGAACTACAACAGCACTTAGATATGATTCAGAATTTCTACTGACCTCTGTCTTAGGGGCCTTCTGTGATGATGCTGATTTGTTGGATAGACTCCCATGAAATCAGTGTTTTGAACTCTGGATTTTTATTTTGAGAGGAGAGAAAAACATATATTGAGCTGAGCTTTTCCTCAGAGACTCCTAAATCAGTTGCAGCAAAGAAGAAGACATCAGATGCTGACTTGAGTTTTCCTTCTTGTTCAACTGCTTCCATGAAAGTTCTTTTCCCACTGAGCTCTATTGCTATCCTTTTTCCCACCTAATGGTAATTAGTCATTCCATAAAACAGATGTTTTAGACTTTTCTGAGGGGATATGCATCATCGCAAAAGCTTATTTTTATAGTGATAATTAGCTTGGGTTTTTAAAAGACTTTTTCTGAAAACCTGTGTATTATGATTAATTTTTTTAAAAAACACTGAGAAGTGGAACTGACATTTGATTTCAGGCACTTCAAGTGCTAAGATGTTCCAATTGAACAGTATCTGTAGGTCTTACTGGGTAAACCTGAGTCCAATTTATATATTTGAAGCTCTATCAAATATATATTATCCCATATTCATTATTTAACTGATGTCCAAGATAAATGCTTAGACAAATCACAGAAATTGTGTTGTATGCAAAAATGTGTTTGAAAGAAACATTCAGTTGTTAGATTAAACATTTAAAATTTTAAACAGTTGGATGTTTCATTGATGATTTGACTGCATTGAACAAGTCAGTATTTAATAGTCTGCAATAAGAAGAGTCACCTTTTTTTTGTATTGTGGTTGCTGGATGGATGAGGAGACAACAGAAAATAAGGAAATAATGAGACTGGACTACAAAGTAATGTTGCTGTGCCAGCAGCTGAAGTGCTATTTAGATTTTGTAGGCAAGTGATCAAGATATCAGATAAAAGCCTGGACAAGAATATTAATCTCATATAAATTTATTAGAGACTGTTTAAAAAAAGTCCATGGAGCATGGTGCTCCTACAGGTTAGTCCAGGGCCAAAGGTAGGGCTGAGGGTAGGGAATGGCCAGCAGGTGAAAGGTGTGAATGTAAATCAGCAAAACAACCACAGAGAGGACTTGGACTTTGAGACCTTGAACTGTCACTGCCATGTTGTGTTATTGCAGAGTGAGATTGGCCTGGAATACACAGGGAAAATATGAGCCCTTAAGTTATTTTCAGGTGAGATTGCCCCACTTTCATCCCTTTTACTTCTGAACAAATGTGAGTGGAGAGTTTCTAACTTATCCCAGGCAGAATATTTCCAGGTTGTGATTGCAGAGTGTGAAAGCTAAAGCAGAAACAATGGGATGGGAACTGAAATAGCAGATTTCTAGTCAGCATTGCAGAGCTGTGTCAGTGCCTGAACACTGTGCAGGGTTTGTAGAGGAACTGGCATGAAGGAGGGAAACTCCAGTGTGCTTGCACTGGAAAAGAGGAGTGGTTGGAAGAGAATGGAAAGTTGAAGAGGAAAAGGATGAAGAGAGGAAATGGGCTGGGTTTCCTTGAGGCTGCATAAGGATAGGAAGAAAAGTTGATGAGCAACTTTTAGGCAGAAAATTAGTAGGAAGAAAGGGATTAATATTATGGTTGTCAGGACTAAGCTGTACAGGAGAAAGTATGAGGAGTTGCACAACAGTGACACATGCATGTTGTAAACTGGAAAGTGGAAGAGGTTGGTCTCGTGGGTGGTTGTGGGAATATCTGTGGCAAGGAGGGACAGAGCAGGCAAACTGGTATGAGCAGAAGATGCATCAGCAAGCAGGTCAGCAGTGTGGAAACAGCTTGCTGAGGAAAGGGAGGGAGGGGCAGAAGCTGAATCTGGAGCTCTGGCCACTTTAAAGGCAAAAGTCCACTTTTGCTAAATAATAATTCTCCTGAAGGGCATCCAGGGATTCTTTACATCTTGGTACCAGAATGATATAGGGATTAAAGAATGAGGTATTTGACACATCTGTGTGTCACACTATGGCTGGTCATTGGACTTGTGTGAAATTCAGCATCACAGAGAGGCTGGGATCACAGGAGATGATGCTGAAACCTCTGTGCTGAACTCTTCTGGGTAGACTGTGTTTTTGAAAAGTATTTCAAAAGTATTGAAGAGTCTCCAAGAAACACCTGCAGTTTAAAGTAACAAGTGCTTAATGTGCTGCTTCCTAAATCCAGATTGTCATTGTGTGCCTTGCAGTCACCTCCAAAAGAAAATAATGTATTTTGTTTTAAAAGGTGTATCTTCCACAGTGGAATACCAGACAGTAGAGTTGGAACGTGAGCTTGAAAAAGTGAGAAGCAAGAAAACAAATCTAGGTAATGGGCTTTCTAGTGTTTCATGTAGATTGTAGTTTACTAAGTGACCTTAAGGTGCTGTGTTTACTTTGGAGCAGTCGCTTGATTGATTCCAGTTTGTTCTTAATTAAATTTGTGCATTTGCAAATACGTTACATAAAATCATTGCGCCTCTCCAACAAAAAAAAAAAAAAATTAAGTAAGGAGTCTGATTTGGATCTTATTTTTAACATTCTTTTAGAGGAATTGATTGTAACACTTCTGTGCATGGAGCTTTTAATGTATAATTTGCTTATGAATATTTGGGCTAATTGATGCTGTTACTTTCCTTTTTGTGTTTGAACTAGTTCTGTAAAATTTAAACAGTCTTTTCTTTTCTTGCACATGCTAATGATGTCCAGTGAAGTTAGTTCTGTCTTTCCTGTGTTACAAGAGAAAAATATTATTTAAACATCTGAAATTCTGTTCTGTCCCTTTAGGTCATGCTAAAATATACATGTAAACAATGTATTTGTAAATTCAGCAGATTTTAAACTTTGTGGAACTGCTGTGTGCTAGGGGAAGAAAAAGGCTAAGGGCAAACATACATCTAAGAAAAATCTGCTTGTCTCTATCTCCCCAGCCTTTCTCTAGAGAGGTTTGATATTTTTGCCATTGCTTTGTAGATCTGTACAGGGTGGATGTTCTTATGAACTGGTTGATGTTTGTTCCACATCAGGATACTGTTGTTACTAATATTTATAGTGAGGTTATGGGTAGTTGAATGATTCTTGTTTTATTCTAAGGTGATCTATGGTTTTAGGCTTATGTTTTTTCTCTTCTGAACAGAACGGAGGAAAAAAGCTTCTGCTTGGGAAAGGAATTTAGTTTATCCAGCTGTCATGATATTACTCCTGATTGAGACAGTAAGAATTTTCTTTTTTTTTTTGTTTTTCCCATCAAAAAGTATGAAGAGTTCTTTGACTATTTGAGGGAATAGTTTTAAATTTTTTGAGTGAAGATTGTTTAAGCAACAATCTTGATGTTCTTTTCTTGACCAGTTAACAAAAACTTGACATTATGGAGTCTGGTGAGGATAAATGTGTAGATTTTAAAAATGTGGAATACTTTTCAATAACAAGACTGTTTCTACTTTTTTATAGTCTTTTTCAGTTCTTTTAGTCGCTCTCAACATTCTTTACCTGTTGGTTGATGAGACTGCAATGCCAAAGGGATCAGGGGTAAAGTAATCTTCTCTTACACTTTTTATAATTTTAGTAAAGCTTTGGAGGCCTTGCAGAAGTGCAAGTGAAGGCTTCTGCTTTAATATAATGGAAACCATGAGCCTGGACCTTGACTTTGCTTCTAGGTTTCATTGCTGTGCCCACACAAACATTTATTACATGTCATGTTGTAGTGAGTGCTTATTAAAATAGTGCAGAAGCTTTATGTAGGTACAGTGATGCAATAAAGCAGATCAGTAATCTGGAGTTTGCAGTTCTGTCTTTGCAGTACATTTCACTGCAGTTTGAAAGCTGCTGGTGCCATTGAATGGGGTGGGGGGACTTGGAGGGTGGGACATCAGAACCCCCCTGAAACACTGAATTGAGGGAATATTGTATTACATATAAGATGTTACATGTTTTGTTCTTGGTAGAAGTTAGCTTTGTGAACTGTTGCATGTTATTTACTGAATTATGCAAAGTATCTTTTTCCTTGTAGGGACCTGGAATAGGAAATGCTTCCTTATCCACCTTTGGCTTCGTGGGAGCAGCACTTGAAATCATTTTGATTTTGTATCCTTTCTGAAAGAATTCTGTCTGTTAACAAGTATTCTGTCTAGTTTTCTGGGACACTGGTAATACACTAAGACACTAGCCTGGAAAGAAGAAAGATACGTCAGTCCTTCTCAAACACTTGTTTTTGTTTCTTTTTTCTTTAGTTCTTAAGACTTTTAGGAGACTGTTGAGAACTTGAGTGAAACTTGCATTCCTTGGAGGTTCCTTTTTTCCTTGATTCTCAAAGCTATCTTATGGTATCTTCTGTCGTCGGCTTCTACAGTCTTCGGTTTTTTGAGAATTTCACTCCCAGGAAGGATGACACAACAATGACAAAGGTAAGGTACAATCTGGGATGGGCATGGCCCCCTCCTGTCTTTCTTGCCACCCAAGACAAACTGACTCTCTTAGTAATTGCCCTGAATGGCTCATTTGCAGTGATCAGTATTTGTTTGTAAGCTGCGTAAACACAAACTGGAAGATTGTCAAAATGCTGAATGAGTGGGAAAAAGGATGTGCTCTGTTTAGTTTGGATGGCATCCATTCACTTGTAAAAAGCCAGGAATGGCAGAGCTTGTTAACTGGCTATAGAAAAGCAAGTGAAAGAACTTCCTTCAAAGGGAACTTATTGCTAATGAGTAACTTTGATTGTGTTAACTGTACTTCAGGGAGCTTGTTTGAGGTCTGAACAACGTGGATGCTAGAAGTAATACAGACAAAGTAATTCAAATTTGAATAATGAAACTAAGACTGAGGACAGCTATTCAGCAACATTTTGCAATCTGAAGCTAATTTGACTTTCTCCAATTTAGCACTGGCTTTAGAATAACCAGTGATGTTACCTAATTGGGAGGAACATGCCTAGGCTTTTGGCAAAGTATTCCTACAGCTGACATGGGGAAGTCATCAGTAACCAAGGAACAGATATTGAATTTAATTATTTTTTCAATATGTTTCATTGTTTGTTTTTAATTTTTTAATTTTTTATTTAAGTAATGGCTTAAGATACTTTTACTACAAATTGTTGGAAGTGTGAAAGTGGGTATCACACAGAATGATTAGAGTAATAAATAGTAGAGAGTTGGAATGTTCTTAATATTTCGTATTGATTGTTTACAGTACACCAGGAATAGTGTGGAAATAGTGAATGTAGAAATGTCTACCTACTTTCAAGTGTTATTTTTTTTTCTTTTGGCTTCTGGTGGAGCTAGACCTGAAGCAAATGATCCCTTGTGAAAGAAAGTTTCAATTACTCTTTCTAAAGGCTTTACAAGAACAAGAGTAAAATCTAACAGCTGTGAATTTTTTCGTATTATTTAAAGTAGACAACAGGCATTGAATTGAAAGGAAGCTCTTTGTTGTAATTTTTTAAATAGTGCTAATCCTGCAAGCAGTTACATCCAAGGCTTAAGCTGATGTATCAGTCATCCATTCTAAGCCCATGGAATTGTTCTTTTATAAAACATTCACAGGAAGTAAGCAAGCAGTTGATGCTTTGCAGCATGGTTGTTTTGAATAATTTTGAATCGGAGCATACATAACATTTTGACTAAAAGCATGTGAATACATATTTGATATTTTTTCTTGGATCATCTTTGTCTTGTGTAACACCATGTGGAGAGGAGTGACAAGAGAAGTCAGCAAGACTAACAGTATGCTACTGTAAATTGCTTTAGGTTCAATTTGAAGAATGTGCCTTTTAAGAATTATTCTGTTTCATCTTGACCGCTGTTTTTCTTTGTGTTCCCTTCAGCAATCTCATTTATCATTTAAATGCTGTTTGTCATTTTCAAACAGATAATTGGAAACTGTGTCTCAATCTTGGTGCTGAGCTCTGCTTTGCCAGTGATGTCAAGGACGCTGGGTAAGTGAAATAAAAGTAACATCGTAATAAAGGATGTTTAATTGAATTAAAAAAAAATACAAGAAAAAAGAGCCTGTTGCTGTATTTTTCATTGTAGGTATGTAATTTGCCATCACTTTCAGGTGAAAGAGCTTGTATCTGTGGCCTTCATTTCTACATGAACTGTTGAACATATATCTAAGTACATGAACTGCAGAACATATTTTCTAAAAAGAAAAAGATGCTAAACATTTTTTAGAGAATATGTTATTGTAAAAAGTCAGATGTCAGACTTCTTAAAACAGGAGATTGTGAGATGAAAAGATAGGAAACTGATTGTCCAGAGCAGTCTGAAATAGTTTCATGTTCACTGTGAAATTAGTGCTTAGTTCCTGTCTATAAATACATTTGGGATTTGGTGTCTGAAATTTGAGGTAACATTGAGTGCAAATGGCTTTTTAAAAACAGTTAATGACTCTTCATTTATTAAGTTTTTTAATCAGCAGTGATACCAGGCTACCTTCATTTTCCCTACAATAATATGCCTGTATTTTTTGTTAACTTCATTTTTCAAATTTGAAGTTAATTTGAGTCTACCATAGCAGAACTGAAGAACTCCTGATTTTATTGCTAAGGATTGGCAGTAGCATTTGAAGTAGTTAAGCTGTTTTAACCAGTTGGAAAGACATGTTGTATCTTCACTTTAATTAGGTAATCTTCAGCTTGAATTCTTGAAGTTAAATTGCAAAGCTATTACATGTTTTAAGTAGTGCAGAATCCTTGTAACTAATGTGAATTTCATTGGGAACATTAAATAGAACAAAACAAAAATCTTCACCTCAGGCTGTACAAGTCTTAAGTACAAGCTTAGAAGTTTGAGCTCAGGCCCACAGACCAGCAGTGTGTGCTCAGTAGTTCTCTAGCTGGTCTTCATTTCAGGGAGAATACTCTTGAATCAAGAGTAGTTCATGGTTTTCTAGTATTATACTAGAATATTCTCATGCTGTGTGTATCAACAGAGGGGACCTTTTAATAAATTATTTATAATTTCTGTAGCAAATGAAAATCCCTCTGTAATGCATTTTGGAGTGTTGAATCTTAAAATAAGCATTCTAGGACTTGCTTATAAAAATCTGTAGTAAAACTCCACAAAAATGCAAAAGGGTGATTCAAGTACTTAAAGCAGTGCAGTTTTAAAATATAACCAGTATGGTAAAGGTCTAAGAAGTGAAATGGTTCTAGCATGTGGAGCCAGATGTTACATAGAAAAATCACTGTTTTAGAATAGTATTGTAACATAAGTTTGTGTCCACTAAGTTACTGCATTCAAGACTTGTTTAAAAGAAAATAAAATTAATTGTTAATGATCCATGAGATTACCAGTTGATAATAACCAGATTCTGTGGGAGTAAGTGTACACGCTGGGTCCATTGTTGTCTCATAGGAAACAGATTAATGGTAGAACTCACTTAAAAACCAGACTAACAAGTGAAATTCCTGAATAGTTTGCCATAGAGATAAATAAAAGAAGAAAAAAGATGGAACAATTAACACACAGCTAACAAATGCACAGTCACAGCTGTCCAAACAGGATTAATAGAGTGTATTAGAGTACAGTGAGTCATGTGGTGCTTTTGCAGAAATATCAATGTGTGTTGCACTACATGCCACCACCCTGTGGCACTGAATAGATGAAAAGAAATAAATATGTTAAGCAGATTCATAGTCTTTTCACTTTATTAAAAAAGTGAGTTTCTAGGCTATACAGAAAAGACTAGACTTTATCCTTATGGGAAAGGTGAAAAAGCAAAAGTTATCTAATACATGCACTGACCTTTTTCAACTTTTAAAAATGGAAATAGTTTCTTCTTACGTGTTTCGTAGCATTCTAATTAGACATGTAGGTGGTGGATATGTCTAATCTGTCATTCTTCTAGAACTCCAGGAAAGTTTTAAACTAAAATAAGTTAACTCATATTTCCCCAGAACTTTTAAAAGCCTTTTAGTAGCCCTTGAGAAATGTTTCCCACCAACGCCATATTGCTAATCACAGAGAAACAAATTAGAAACAAGGCACTCAAAGTCAAGAATGCAAAAAACAAAGAAAACAGAGAAAATTGAACTTTCTAGTATATGGAAGTTTTCCTAGAATTCTACACTTGAGTATTATGTACAAGTAAATGGGGATTTTAAATTTATTTGTGTGCCTGTCTAAAACCTACCATTTGTTTTTTGTTTAATAGTTTATTTGGTAAAATTTCATCAGCTTTTGTGTTTATATAGTTGTGCCACTAGATATGCAAGTTTTTCTTCAATTACTGAAGAGTTATTAAAAGTCTTGGTTTTTTTTCTCTGAGGGCTGAGTAGATACTGCTTCTGTAAGAAAGACATCAAAACTTTTTTAACCTTTTTCTCCCATGAGTTTACAGACTGTTACTGTGTCACTTTTCTGATGAGCAGTGACTTTTTCTCTTTGTAAGAAGAAATTGAATGTAATTTATGGACAATAATTTTCCCACCTACTCTAACAGAAGTGTCAGGGTTCATTTCTGTTTGTCCTGGTAACACTGCTCCATGGCTTGCTGTTCTTCTGGACCTCTATGTGTCAAGGAATGTTATTCCTTTTCCAGGGAATTCCAGTGCTCTGCCTGTTTTGTTCCTTTTCCTTTAAAGTTTTGGGAGCCTGTGCATTCAAACCTGACTTCCTTAATTTTCCTGTGGCTTCACAATCTGGCTAAAACACTGCTGCTTTGGAAATGCTAAGGACACTGTTTGCCTTCAAGTGAGAAAGCAGCTCTGTGTTTATCATCCTTCATCTCTTTACCAGTTAATTCAGTCAGTTTTTTCTTTCTGTGCTAAGACCTTCTCTGCTTTTTTAGTATTTCTCCCTCCCTCTTTTGCTGTTTTGATCAGTGATTGTTTTGTTTCATCCTTTGAAACAACTTCTTTTAATATCAGTATTTTTTTCCTTAGATATCAAATTAAATCCCCATGTTTTAATATAAATGACTGATGCTGAGTATAAGAAGTGTGTATATCTTTTAACATTGTGATAACTGGCTTGCAAGTCTTGGATATGCAGATACAGTGAGATTCTTAAGTGTCAGGTTTACTCTTGGAAGAAGTGCAGCTGACTCTTAATTCTGTCTCTTCATTTATTATCACTTTTGAAGTCAGTTTTTAAAAGCCCCAAAACACTTTCAAAATAAGATGATAGAAAATCAGAAGCTTTCAAGAATTTCAGAGCCAGGGCTACTTTGTGATTGCCTCATTTGCTGCTGCCATTTTAGTTTTGGGACAGGGTCAGCTTCCTGCTTTTGCACTGTTGGGAGGGCACTCTTCCCTCTGACGTCATCTGTGCCAAAGGTTTTTTGGGAATACAACAGCCTTTGCATCCTAGATAGTGATCATGTGGCTGGTATCTCAATGTTCTGCTGTGTTCCATGACAGTATTCCATGACACCTGACAAAGGAACAACCTGTGGTTCTTCCTGTTCTGCCTTCTGCCATGGGCCCTACTGCTTGCAGATGTTTCCATGTTTCAGAAAGATGTTGTTCATTTAATTAGTGATAGATCAGCACAAAGCCCAAGTGTCAGGGTTGGGGGTACCCTGTGAAGGAGACCTGTCAGCACCATCTTTCAGCCTCTTTTCCTTCTGTGCAAGTGCTGCATGGCTGTAGTGGTGGGTGTGTCCAGGAGAAAAACTGCAGTCGGAAGCATGTCTTTAAACTTTGGTTTCAAAAGCAGTGCTCTGGAAGAACACTTTAAAGGCTTAATGTTTACCATAAGATGTTGTGGCTCTCATAGAAAGGCTGTTTGCTACCTGTGTTTATTAAAATAAAAGCTCAAGGTGCATTTCATTTTCTGGAATCATTAAGGATTTTATAGAAACTGAGGTTTCAAGCAGTTTTTATACTAAAGCTGATTTTTTCCTAGTTACATTTACTGATGTTATAAAAAGAGTTCTTACCTAGAATAGACAATTGATTTAAACTCCCATTATTCAAGCATTTTACTATGAAATTTAAAAAACATTCTGATAAAGGTGTCTTACAGTTTATAGTGACCAGCAAACATTGTCTTGTGTGTTTAACCATGTGTCTTCTGGTGTGCTGTCTATAAGAATTTTGCCTCCAAATGTAAATGTAATATAAGGAAATGTTTGTGGTTCTTAAAAAAATGTTATGATTGTTTTGATCTAAATCTTGCATGCAATTTAACAGGAATCACCAGATTTGATCTTCTTGGAGACTTTGGAAGATTCAACTGGCTGGGGAACTTCTATATTGTGTTGTCTTACAACTTGCTCTTTGCTATCATGACAACGTTGTGTCTGGTCAGAAAGTTCACTTCTGCTGTGAGAGAAGAGCTCCTGAAGGCATTAGGTAACAGAGCCCTGAAAATTCACTGTGTGCTTGACCACTCTCTTTCTCCACCATTGACACTTTGTTGTGCTACTGGTAAACTTCTGTCACAGCTCACAGAATACTTTTTTTTTGGTGGGAATTTCTCTTAAGTTAAAGTATGAGGATAAATAATCTGTTTATTGAAGAGTCCAGAGCTAAGGTACAAAGTTGATTTCAATGATATGCCTGTGGTACTTATTGGTCTCCAGCTGAATTTTCAGTCTTTGGAGAGCACAGAGGCACTTTCATTGCTATGAACAATTATTCCACATGAAAACTTCAGCTTGTGTATGAGTTGTCTTTCTGTTTTGTCTAAAGCAACTTATTAGTTCCGTATAAATAGTTAGCAGAGATCTCAATTTTGTCACACTTTTTTTGAACATATAATCAGAAAATCATTGTACAGAATGTACAGAACCTTAGTAACTGGCTGAGTAAAACCTGTACCTGATATAATCAAAAAATCTGACCAAATCTTGCATTGATATTTCTTGACCATAGAAGAAAGGATTGAAACACATTTGTTACTAAGAACATAAAATGTTTTTTAGTTTTTATTGTTGTCACCGCATCTTATATTTGCTAATTAACAAAGCTCCTCTCTATTTAGATTCCTAGAATAATATTTGCTTAAATTGAGAGGATTAATGGTGAAACTTTAGTGTTTCTTTGTAACTGAGGATTTAGTTAGTGTCATCTAGAAATTACTCATGTTAGTTTTCACTGCTTTGGGTTGTGGTGCTGAAATAAAATCCAAGCACTTCCCAGAGTGCTGGTGTAAGATTAACTTAAAATTGTTGTAAAATAATTAGAAATAAAGTGTTTAATAAAAAAATTACAGATGTTGAAGGCAGATTAAGAAACATGAAAAGGCAGGCATAGTAGGATCATGGTCACTGGATTTGACACGAGTAGGGAGTCACAAACCCTGAAATTTGCAGGTTCCTGGCACAAACTGGGTTTGTTTTCAGTGCTGCACATCACAAACAGTGTCTGTTAAAAACTGTCCCATGGAATTCAAAGAATGAGAACTAAAACTAAAATTGGCCTGTGACCAAAAAATTCACGTATTAGGACTACAAATAAGGCAATATTAAGGAGATTTTGGTTTTTAGTAGTGCAGTCAATTTTGGAATTCCAATTCCAACAATGCAAGATGTTTGACTTTGTACATCATGGCACTTCAGTAAAACGTTCAGTGTAGAACATGAAATGAATAAGAAACTCTTCCCAGGTTTGATTCTTTGCTTTAGAGACTTAATAGAGGCTTCAGAGAGAAACTGTACCAAGCAAGGAAGGACTGACATCATGCCTCTTTTGAATAAAATATGGCTAAATTTGTCATCTTTCCTCATCTCCCTCCCTCCCTCCCTCCCTCCCTCCCAAAAAGAGTAATTTAACTGCTTGCCTGGGGCAGCATGTGAGACTTGAATTAGCACTCACCATAGAGAATTGTGCAATAAGAACTAATGGCTGGAAACAGAGATAAATCAGTAATAGTGTAGTCCTAAAAATGGAATTAGACATATAAATAGCTTAGAGAAGTGATCTGGTCATCACCAATGACATTAAGATCAGCAGTGGGTGATTTACAAAAAGATGTTTTAGTTTAAAATAAACAATTAATTAATAATTATCAAATTAATAAAATTAATAATTTTAGGTAATAATTTAGGTCTTTGTAGGTGACAGGGTAAATTATTGCAAGTATTTCTTGGTTCCTAGCATCTGAGTCTGTGATTTAAGCAGTGGGAAGTTAGGGTTCTCTGCCTTCCATGCTTGTCCACTGTAATGGAATTTCTCACTTAAACACTGAGGCAGTTTCCCAGTAGCAATTCTTACAGGAGGTAGAAAATCAATTCTGGTCTTCAGCAAATGTGAAGTCTGCAATCATGAAGTAGGATTTGGGTTGTGTTCTTTTGAATACCTGTGTGCATGAAACAAGGGAGAGTCTAAGTTTTTCTTATTCTGTAATGTTTTGCAGGGTTAGATAAACTTCATCTATCAAACAATCCAAGAGACTCGGAGACAAAGCCTTCTGCAAATGGCCATCAAAAAACACTGTGATAACAATCACCTGCAATCAGCAGAGCTGAAAACATCAACCTCATGGCATTCCTGTCATCTCATCAGCATTTTTATATTGCTTTTAGTTGTTAGTTTGGGTCAAGCCGTGTCTCACTTTGATGCTGTGTGCTTCTGAGGAAGTTAGGTGTGTCAGATTCTTCTCTTTCCAGTGAACTTTTGGTCTGCTTGTTTATTTCCCAGGAAGTTAATGCAGGAGGTGCCTTGAAGACTGGAAGCTGAAGAGAAAAATGCATTCCTTTTTATTTGTTGAAAGTCTCACATCTTTATTTTGAAACTTGCTACCATTTGAATGCACAGTACCTCCTGTGTTATACACACACAGCTATAAAGAATAACTTCGGGACTTGATTAAAAAAAAAGAAAAAGAAGAAAACACACTTGAAGGCCAATACGACCCTTACTGGAAATGTAAAGTAGCTGGAGTAAGTACCTGTGACAGGAGATAAACAGCTCTACTCAGAGTGAGTTAAAAAGGGCAGGAGAGATCACAGTGCTGGATGCAGTAGGATGTGTCATGGTGCTTTCTCAGAAGGCCAGTGTTTTCAGCTCTCTGTCCTTAGCTCCAAATGTCAGCTTGCTTTACTGGTGGTCAAACGGTGTCTTATGGAAGTCCAAGATGAAGATTAACTTCAGTGTTAAATCTGAGCCTAGTATGCTTTGTAAAAAGCTGAGTAGACCCCGCTGTCACAGCTCTCAGTTCTGTGAGCTGTTGTGCCCTGGATGTCCCTTCCCCTACCCAAGACCCCCTGTGAAATTTTTGATGAACTACTGTGTGTAAGCAGTACCTGGAATCAATGCAAGGAGCACAGGCCTAGGAGGCTGCAGTTGCAGTTTTCTACAGTCTTTAATTTGAAGTAAATTTCTCTGAATTTATACTTCAGTTACCAGGATTTCTGTTCAGTGGCATAACCCAGTTATCTGTCACTAGCCTGTTTTTTAATGTACACATGAACATGTATATAGGCCTATATGTGTAGATATCATAAATTAAATTCTAAGGTTGTAGAGATGACAGTAGGTGGTTTGGTAAGTAAAACGTGTGCAGTCTTGGTAGTTTGAATTTCTGAAGTGTTTAACTGCTCAGAGGCCTTAGATTCAAGATGGCATCAGTGGGTGATAATGTCCTTTCTTGTAGCATTTCCTTGCAGCCTTAGGAATCCTTTAAGCAGTTTATAGTAAAGAAAAATACCAAGTAAGTATTCAAAATCTGGTTGCACTTTTGTCCTGCTCAGCCTCAAGTAATCTCCAAACAGACTGGAATGGGGATGCCTTCAGTGAGTGCCCCTTCATGTAGGGAGCCAGAAAATTTTCCTGTTCATTTCCTATTTCTGTAAAACAAGTCTGCCTGTCTGTGGTTTGAGGTCTTATATTAATTGGTGACAACTTGATTTCCAGTGTGGTTCCAAAATAAGGTAAATCTTGTGTCAGAAACTCTTTGGCTGTTCTCTTGAGATGGCTGCTCTGGGCTGTAGACCTTACTGCTGTGTGTGTGAATGTCTGCTTGTTTTTTTCCCCTGAAGTGCTTCAAAAACCAAGCTCCAGTACAAATGAGGATTTATCTTTTTTGCAGCTGCCTTTTCTGACTTGAACTGGGGCATAATGTAAATATTTCTGTAGTGAATATGATGCTAGAGAATGACTTCTTTTGTGTGTGTGTGATTAGTGTAAATTCAAGGTTTATTGAACTGACTATTGATGTGTTATATCAAGTCTTGGAAGAAAAAGTAAAACTACTTGATTTCACTAAGATTTACAAGCATCTTTTCTCTTGTTTAGTGCTGACACTTCAGTGAGAAATCTTTATCTGAGTCAAAGTTTTGCCACCAATAACAGAGAGCTATAAGTAAAAGTTGTTCTAAAATGAGTTTATATTTAAAATATTAGGAGATATATTATTAGGGGCATCAGTCCGGTATTCTCAGAGCTTGTAGCCTTATGTATTGGCATTATAGTTAAAACCTGCTGAAGTATGTCGGCTTTTTCATGCAAGTTATTGTATGACCAAAATTGTCCTCATGTCTTAATGGGGCTGGTGAACTGTGGTGTGTGAGGCCAGTTAGCTTTATAGAGATATTTCTGTTACAATGGTAATACAGTTAATACACTCTGAAGAAATTAATATTGGGAATAAACCTAGGTGTATGAACCAACAAAGGTCTTGCTCCTCATGCCTTTGGAGAGATGTTTGTCATGGCATCAGTGACCCAAGAACACAGAAAAAGGTGGATTGTAGTGTGTGTGTGGCTTCTGCAATTACTTCAACTGAGCAGGGGCAGTTCCTGCTGAGAAGCACCCAAGCTTCAGGCAAGACTTTAAAACTCTTTTTCAAAACAAATGTTAGGGCCTCGACCGTCCCCACCCCTTCTGCATTCTGCAGGCAGATGTGTAGGTCAAAGCTACATTAGGGAAGACTTTACACTGGACTCTCTGGGATGGTTGAGGTGCTGTGTGGTTTCCAAGATGGATGAGAAATTCAGAACTACCCTGTGCAACTACTGACAGTGTTCTGTTTTAAAATCAACTGCTGATATTGTGACACTGTCAACATTAAAATACGCCTTTGGCCTTGAAAATGACGTGCTTATGCAAAGCTTTGTCACTGCATGCAAGATACAGGTCACTGAATACTTTTCACAGAATCATATGGTCACTTAATTACGAGCAACTGATAATTCATTAATGGATATTGACAATGCATTCCTAGTATTTTGACTCATGTAGAGTCAGGTGGTCTATACCTTCAAGGTATATACAGCTGATCTTAGTAACATTAACATCTGCCTCACTTCTTACGAGGCAAAAAGCACATCAATGCTTCCATCTTCAACTAGATACCACACAAGACCAAAAAAATAGATGTAAACTGAGTGTTTTAAGTTAGCTGTTTTTTGGCTTTTTTTCTGTGTTGGTAGCACAATATTAAATGCAATTGCAGAACTGTAATATTTGTGGGGTTTCTAAGCATAAAGCACATGTGCTTATCACTTTAAGCAACAGTAGTATTGGTTACTGTACAAGTAACAGTTTTGCATTCATAGGGAGCTTTGTTTACTGTCTGTAATGTGCTGTTTATCTTTGGCCCTGTTCCTGTGATACCTTTGACCCTGTTGGCTGTTCTGGTGTCATAGAAATTAAAAGATTTGACAAATTGTTTTCCTTGTCCGGTTCCCAAGTACCACCTGGAGCACCAGTGGAGGGAGGGCTGGGCTGCCCACGCAGGCAGGGAGGAGCTGCTGCAGCAGGTGCTTGGCAGGAGGGACACGGGAGCAGATCCTGGGGACACGTCCTCCCCCTGTGTCACCAGGAGTGTCACATCTCCCCTGTGTCACCAGGAGTGTCACATCTCCCCTGTGTCACCAGGAGTGACAGGTGCCAAGGGGCTGCAGCCCCTGTCCATCCCACCATGTTTCTCATGAGTCTGTGCAGCAGCTGATGCTACTTGAGGTGCTCACTTGTGCCCAGTGCTGTGTACTGAAGACATGATGGCCCTTTTCTTAAAGAATTTGCAGTCTAAATTAGAAAGGAATAAAGTAGAAACAGAAAGCAGTGGGCCTCTTCCTGCATGTGGCTTTCCTTGAGTTCTTGAAGCATGCGCTGCGTTATTTCCCATCTCTTCTTCTCCCAGAAGTGTGGTGGTGGTGTATGTATAGCAGCTGAGCCTTACCCTTAGTGGACTGGCATCTAAAATTTTGAAATAATAAATACAGGAAAACCGCTAAATTCTGTTTAACATATTCTCTGATCTTGAAAATAGCATTTTTTTTAAATCAGGGTGAAATAATCTAAGCAGAGACAGGACATTAAGGCCACATAAATAACCTCTTCAAAAAGAAATGTGCTTAGTTTTGTTTTAAAAAGTGTTGATGTGAACTGTGAAGCTTTAATTGCTTTAATGACATAAGATTCCCTACCTCCTAGTATTAGGATTTTTGTTGTTATTTCAGTGCTGAGTTGAGACAATATTGCCTACACTGACTTCCCTCCCCAATCCATGAACACTGAATTTACTGTTGATAAGCTGGAAGGTTATTTCAGTCACATTGTCAGATTTGAACTTTAAAATTGCTACATTTGAATTTATCCCATTCAGCAAGAGCGAACTAAGGCCACAGCCACCAGCCACACAGTGATACAACTTATGCCCTCTTTTCTGCCTTGCCCCCTTGAGGCAGACAAAACATAAAATAGCAGAAGAATCCAGATAGATTTGATTTATGCACTGTTGAAAACCATACCAGAAGGCAACTTTAATGGAAGGCTTTTGAAATATTTCACAATTGAAGCACCTAGAACTCTTCTTTCAAAGAGAAAGAAATGTGTATCATTAATATACAAATGTCAATTGTATGTTCTCCAAATAAGCCAGTAATTCACTGATGCTGAAAAAAATTTCATCACTTCTTAAAATCTCTTTTGTGATTCACAGTGAAACAGTATCTTGGGCTTTTATAGAGCATGTGAACTTCTGAAGGTATCTCTATCTTGGCAGCAGAAACCTTAGGATGCTTGCTAGTTTTGTGTTAACTACCATATTTTATCAGTAACTTTTTGGTTTCATTTGTTGCTCAAGAATTTTTTTTAATATACATAGCATTAAATGTTTTAACAAATACAGAAGGTGATTCCAAACAGTCAAAGAGATAGTTTCTAAATAGCTTGGCATTCAGTATGTCAAGAATATCAGCATTTATGGGATATTTCTCACACTATCTGTATGAAGGCTGTATGAAGGCCTTACATCAAATAGAAATTAGGAAATCCTATTTCTTAGAGGTTTTTAGGTGTCTGAATGTTGATACGTACCTACTTGAGCACTTTGGAATGCTGCTTCTAGATGTTTGTTGATCACTAACCCCAAGGCTGCTGTTGCTTTTCTCCCCACCCCCATTACATTAAATTTTATAGTCAGCATCACTGGATGAAACTCCTTTCCTGAAAAGGGCTTTATTTTGCATTCCTCCTCTATTCCCTGCTTCCATAGATACCAGCTATTGAAATATTGGGGCACCTGCTTTGATTTTGATGTATTTCTTTTTCCACATAGCTTGTAGAGAGATATGCCCTAGTTAGAACTCTTCCACTACAAAAATGTTCACATTTATGAATTTGTTTTTTACCATTAGATACCATTTAAGCAATCTTGTCACTAGAGAGTCCTCTAACAAACTACCAAGAGCTCAAGTCAGTTTGAATCATGAGTGAGAGGGTTTAGTCATTGCATATATGTGTGCTTTTAGCTTCCAGTGGAATGCGAGTACAGCCCCACTTCCCAGTGAGGGGAACGAGCTGGTTTGGCCGCTGGGGTGGCTGTCACTGCAGGGTGGCTCCTGTTGTGGACCTGCTCTGTAGCTCATCTGCTGTGGGATGCACAGGGAGATCTTCCTCAGTGGGAGGTGGACACACTCTGTGTCAGCTCCCAGCAGGGTCAGGCTGTGCGAGGTGCCGAGTGAGGCTCTTCACCTGTTCTCTGGATTTTTGTATTTCATGTGTATGAGCGTATTTTGGGCCTTCTTGCCCCATGTGAATTGATCGTTCAGAGAAGTGGCATGGTAGTGATACCTGTGCAGTGGATTCAGTGGGTGTGTTTACATGTTTAAAAAGAAAATTAGCTGGTGCATGATTTCCCGTTTCCCCCTAACCGTGAGGTTTTTTCAGTCTGGACCAAAATTCTTAAGAGTCACAAAATCCCTGTGAGTACTTTCTCCTCCTTGGCTTTATATAACAAAGCTCAGTCACTTTTACTTTCTTAAAGGTAGCTTTCAAACTATTTTTGCCTTATTTGTTGTGATTTCTGTTGCTTTAAGGAGAAGTGGATAGAAAAAGAAGATACATCTAGGTCATGGGAATTGAAATCTTGGTGTGTGTGTGTATGAAACACACATACACACAAAAAAGGGTGTATTTCCTTTCCTGTGGGGTTTGGCACCCAACCCCACATTACCTAAATAGAAATCATGTGTTGCTTTTGTCTCCACTAAATATTGTCTTTAAAATTCCCAGTGAGAAGACTGAGGATGTTCTCAGGGTGCTGCTGGCACCCTGATCCCTGTCACACGGAATTGGCTTCATGTGTGTTTGGGTGGCATGACCATAAAAACACAATTCTGAGCTGGCCTGTCCGTGGCTGTTGGTGCTGCTGGCTGGGCTGGGCTGGGCTGTGATGATGGCAGCAGGTCCCTTCACTGTGCACATTCAGGGTTTCACTGCAGTGTTACTGGTTAATATCACAGTTTACAAAAACAATTATGAATTGCGCACAATCTCTAAACTGTGTGAGGCTGGGAGGTGCTGAATGGAACTGGTGGTCCCCTCTTGGTCTGATTTGTGCTTTAGGTTTTGTAAACTCCACAGTCTTGAGCAGCTGACTTTTCTTTCACATGGATGTATCTGACCAAGGTATAACACAGCTGAAAAATTGTGCTTTGAGTGTTACTTTAATCCCAACAGTTTTTGGTGTAGATACCTTCTCCCCATCAACCCTTCCTGGTTCATTTTAGGTTATCCAGAATTATGATTTATAATGTTCTCTGTTGTGGGTATTTTGTTGTGTTACAAAAAAAAAAAAAAAATCTGCTGCCTTAGCTAGGCTGGTTTTTGTTTTGTTTTGTGGAAAGCAGTGGTAATATGTTTTTTTCCTTTGTTTGAGATGTTACACTGAATGTTTTGTAGGAAAATTTTTTTTTACTGTGTTTTCAATAAAGGTAAAGTGTGATTTATAGCAGAGTTTTGTCCCTTTTTTATTACAAGCAATGAAAAAATAATCTGTGTTATTCTAAGTTATCCTGTCTGTAGTTGGTATGAATAGTTGTGTTCCTCTCTCTTCTTCCTTCTCCTTATTTAACCTGCTTTTCAGATTTTCAAGTGGTTGCATTTCTAAAATAGCTGAGGTAGGGAATGTGATGGAGATTCCTCTACACTGAGGCATCACAGCCCTGTGTTTAAGACAGGTGTGCAATTAATTGGAACTCTCTGCTTTAGGCCAGTGGGGATTGTTTATAGCAAAGTATGCTCATTATGTAATTTGTAAGTAATTTGCAATTCCTTAATAGTTTGACTGAAGGGCAATTTTTACATGTTAAACCCCTGACCACCGTGCTTCCTAAACTGTCTGTAACTTAAACAGCTTCAGACTTTAAATTCCATTTCACAGGAGAGTTTAGGCTGTTTTTAAAGTTCAAGGATCACGTTCTGGAAGGGACCTGGAGATGTTTGATCCATCCAGCTGCACAGGATCAAACACAGCTGCATTGTCCCTGGTATTTAACCAGCCTGGCAGGGGCTATCTGTGATGGGATTGCTGTGCTGTCTCGCAGTATATTCCAGTGTTTGATTGTCCAAGATTTCATAAATGTCAAATGTGAAGGGCCCTTGCCATGCTTTAAGCTTTAATTTTGTTCTCAAACATCCGTAGTAAAACAAGTCTTTCTGCTTGCACCAGCTTTTTCCACACCTGAAAGCTTACATTTCCCTTTCTTTTCCACACCTGAAAGATTACATTTCCCTCTATTTTCTATATGAGAGTGACCCCTAATTCCCTCAATGGTTTTATGGAGGCCTCTTGTCATCCTTTTTGCTGTCTGTGGGGATGCTTATGTATTTTTGGAAATGCAGAACTCAAGTGGACACAGAAACCTCCAAGCTTGAGCTCTGGCACTACATCATGTCTTCAGTGCTTTTTTCTTTTTTTTTTTTTTTTTTTTTTTTGACAGACAGGGGGAGAAGAGGCATCTCAGGTGTTGTCCTCAGTCTAGATTTTTGTGCCTTTTTATTGCCTTGAGTATGTTTCTGGATATTGCAGTTTCTGCATATTACATATAGGTCTGGACAATCTCATCTTCATATCTGAAGATGCTCCCACAGGGGCTCAACAAAATAAATACATAAAAGGATTGCTTTTCTTGAATTTAATCATCTTGAGTGCAATCCCAGCTCACTGTGGCCACTACCTCCTAATGTACCCCTGTGTCTGAAAGCTCTGCAGGGATTCACACAAGTCTTAGACTTGTCCGTGTGTCTGCCCATAATGTGTGCAGTTTTAAGGGACATTTGACATCTGTATCATGACCAGGCAACGTGAGCCTTTTTCTCCATGCATTTCCTGTGAGAGAAAACCTGCTAGGAAAAGAAGGAGCCATTTTTTCAGGGAGTGTGGGTTGGGCAGTGGGAGGTGAGGTGGCAAAAGGGTTGAGCTCAAGGTCAGACAGTCTCATGGCACCTGAACACTTTCCTATTGTTTCATTTCAATTTTTTTTTTCTTTTCTAACTTTTCTCTACCAGCACATCTGCTCCCTTCCAGCTGTGAAAGTGGCCCTTCATAGCATATGTGAGATTATTTAAAATGAACTTTTCTGGACCCAAAGAAATTGAGAGCTCAAATATCACAAAAACCTATCAGAAATTATGTGGAAACCTCACTAAGAATTTATGTAGACTTTGAATTTCCTAAATTTTCTGCTAACATGACCTCATAAATTTTTTTATTCTGTGGGCTGATTCACTGCTAACTGAGAACTGTTATGACTTACTGTGTTCCCAGATGATCCCTCACATAACAGGATGTTGAAAGGATGTATCCGTCTGTCAGTAGAAATCAGACACGTTTCCTTGTTAGTAAATGCTGATTTAGCCATGTAGCATAAAAGAAAGAAGTTCCCTGAGAGTCTTTGTATTGTGGATGTATTTAAATCCCAAAGCGATGGAAAAGCAGCAGCCTGTACTCTGTGAGAGAATTCTGCATATTCTGTGAGAGAAGCAGCCTGTACTCTGTGAGAGAATTCTGTGTAGCACAGAGCAGGTGGGGAACCTGGTGCTTCTCCTCTCAACTGCTCAGTGTCAGGAAAGAAACATCCCAGTCTCGTTCACGCTGACCTTCAGAGGTATGTGGAAAACAAAAAACAAACAAACAACAGTCCCACCACAGGCCTCCTCCAATATTTACACTTTGTGGTCTCCAAACAATCCCGACTGGTGACACCATGTGCTCTCTGAATGGCTCGTGAAACTCTGCTTATATCTTTAATATTTTAATGTGACTATGTGTTTAATCAATAGCAACCCTGGTAAATTGTACCAGACTTTTGCTAGCTGGGTTCTAGAACTGAATCTCTGCATTGCAATTTTAACTGCTCTTACTGATTTCATATTAAAATCTGGTTTCAGCAAGAGCAAGGTAAGATTACACCTAACTCTTACATAATTTGGGGTTTCTGTTCATCATCAGATAAAGGTTGATCCATTTGAAAGCCCTTCTGGCCCTGAGTTATGCTTGGTCTTCATTTATAGTGGTATCAGACTTGACTAGACCTGACCTGGTGTTGTAAGCAAGTGAGCATCCTTGAGCTGGAACTGTAAGAAAAAAAAAAAAAAAACCAAACAAAAAACCCCCTAAAAACAAAAACAAAACCAAACAAAAAAAAAAAAATCCAAAAAAAACCCCCCCAAAATGAGGAAAATTCTTTTCCTGCATGAGACAGGGATCTATGAAGTTCCTCTGCTGCTAAGATACTATCTTTGAGCTGCTCCTGGATTTTCTCTAGTATGATCTGACCCAACTTATATCCATCAATCAGTAAATAAAGTCTAAGGTCTTTCTTTTTGCGAAGAAAAAGAAATGTAACTGAAATTTAGCCGAGAATTTTCGCTAACTGGTAAATCAGCATGAACTATCAATGTGAATGGAAAGGAAATCAGCATTTTAAATAATTGTTATTGTCATGTTCTAGGATGTAAAAATGAAATTTTAATTTGTAATACCGAATAACTTTTCTTAAATCCTAGAATAACTGACACAGAGCAATTGAATTTATTTCTGAAAACACCATATCCTGTCCATTTTACGTCTGAGACTTCCTAAAGCTTGGACAGAGTGGCATAAAGTGACTCTGCAATCCCCCATCGGTATGCAAAGCTGCATCAGTCATCTGTACAGCAGCACAGGACTATGATAAAATGAAACCATGAAACAAAGCACCGAGGTGAACTTTGTCCGTGGGGAAGCCTTTTTAAGTGATCCAATGTCAGCAAATTGCTTACTAATGTGTTGACTTATGGCAACCCTCAAAAGTAAAATGAAAAGGCTGGAATTTACAGCATATCAATGAATCAGTTGATAAGCTTTTACTGGTTTAATATCCTCCTAGTTTTGCTGCTTGGAGCCACTTCAGGTTAGCAACAGAATGTTTACCATCTCTGTGTGATAAAGGAAGTCAAACGACTAAACAAATTCCAGGACCATTATACTGTTTGGTGAGATTTAAATTAAAATCGTTGGGAGAAATCATGTGGAGGGGGGAGCAAGAAACTAAAGTCAACTGCATCATTTCACAATGACTTACCTCGCTTCCTAAACAATGGCAGGATTTTTAGCCGAGCAGGAGATAATGTAATGCATTAGAAAAGATTTAATTGCACCAATAAAAGGCTACACCACAATTAAATGACATACAGAGTGACATTTATAGGTAGGATCAAAGAAATTCACTACCTAACATGCTGAAGCAACACCCTGCTCTCTGTGTGTAGGAGTGCTAAAAAGTAGCCTACTTTGGTTTCAGTGACCTTTCTTATCTCCTTTGATCTAGATTATTAAAAATTTTAATGCCAGGTGTAATAAGGGCTACTGTAGCACCCTGAAACAAGCAATATGTGTCTTTCCTAGTACTAATATTTCAGACCTTGTTTTCTATTTTGTGATATTTATTTAAGCATATGAGACTTGACATTTTACCTTTGTGATTCTTCCAAAGATGGCAGGGTTATTAAAAAAAAAAAAATTTTTTTTTTTTTTTTTTTTTTTTTTTTTGCTATTGTGATGCCATTTGATTATGCTAATGTTTAGGGAGTGACATTTTAAAAGCACAGTTCAATTTTGAGAAGCAAATTCTATTTTAGAAGAGCTTTTTAGTGTCTGGAAATGGATGGCTCCTTGTGAAAACTTTAATGTTTTAATTAACCAATTATAAACTTAATTTTAAAGTATAAGATTGAACAGCAGGAAAACTCATCTACAATTCCCACTTGAAAGCCACTAAGAAAAATAAGTGCAGGTCCTTTAATCACGACTTGCACTGAATTTATTCAAACCTGACTAATCATTATGAGAAGACTTCTTAAATTTATTCTTAATAGAAGGTGGAAAAGCAGTGCCCATTTTGTTCCCTGTAAAATCCTGAAGTGTTTAATGTGAGAGGAAGTTCCTACTGCTGAGTCCTCTCTGTGGACACTGCTGGATGAAGATCTCCCTATGGCTTTTGGAGTGTGGGCAGTCAGGTGCCAAAGGCAGGGACCCCAAAGCCCAGGGCAGGTATCTTGGAGGGTTGCTGCTGTAGCCATCTAAAGTTTAGTGAGAGAAATTTCGACCAATGATGTTCAGCTGCAGCTTTCAGCACATTTAGGAGCCTTCTCCAGCCTCCTGTTGCTGAGACCTTGTTTCATGGCTTTGCATGGTATCCTGTGCCCATGGGAAACTGGCAGCCTTCTTGGAAAGAAGCCTACATCTGCTTCCCCAGACTTTCACACAGCAGGAAAATCCAGGGATTGTCTGTTCCAGTCATGCTTCTTGAGGACAGTCACAAACCACTGACAGGTTAATTTATTCCAAACTTAAGGGCTTGAGCACTTTTGAGTGGAACACCAGCGTTCTTCAGTCACCTTCATATTCTTTTTCTCTGCTGCAGGGAAGGATTTTGCATGGATTCTAAAGAGGATGGAATGAACTGACTGACAAACCAACTGGGTGGCTCCAGTGCTGCCTGTTTCGTGTGACTGAGAAGGAATGAGTGAAAAGGGAGGGAGCTGATATTCAGGAGTTCTGGTTTAAGGAAGCTGAATCACCCCAAGGAAAAAGACCAAGGAAGCAAATACAGCAAAACGTTTTATCAAATAGTTGCTTTCTTAATTTTCTGTCCTTAGGAGGCACTGCTTCCCTTAAGTCTTTAGACTTTTTTCTAACCGTATATCCCTTCAGGAAGCTTAAATTCTCTAAGACACAATTCTGCTCAAGAAGAGGAAACTTGAATTCTTATAATGCAGTTATTTATATGAAACAATGATTTATTACATTTTTTAAACTTTAACTTTTCTAGTGCATGCATTCTTTCTAGTGTCTTACTAAAAGTATAATGCATTTGGAACATTATTAAGAAATAAATATTGTCTGGTGACACACCTGTAGCAGAAGTAAGGCTTACCTAATTAATTCAATTTAACTAAGCATGCCCCATCATGTATTACTCCGGTCTGATACTGCTCTTTTCTATACATAGGACAACTTTTTACCTGTAAATTTTTCAAAGGTTTTCAGGCATCACTGAAAATAATTATAATTACAATTATTTACAATATATTTGATCTTGTTGGTACAGATAAAAGAGGATAAATTACAGAATGTAAAAACACTTAATCAATCAATCCATGAACACTCTACAACATGCAAGTTTTTAAAAGTAAAGTGTTAAGGGAATTTTTTAAGTCTCCACATATTCACATGAAATTTTATGGGTTAAATTGTTCCAGTTTAGTGTACTCCTGTTCAGCTCAGTTACAAACTATGTTTTCCCATATGCTTTAAAAAAAGGTTATAAAAAAGAATAAAGTGCTTCATCATAAAATAGCTTTAAATTATATTTCTTACCATAAAAATCTAGAATCAAAATTACTTTTCACGATAATTACATTTAATTCATTAAGATATTCACTTAGGTAGTTTAATTAAAAGACTCATGTATTATGTGCTTGAATAGTTATATAAAAATGTACTCCCTTAATGGACTACATGGGAACATGAATGCAGCACCTGTTTTTTCAAAGGAAAGAAAACAACCCCAGAACCAAACCTGACTTTAAAGCATTCTAACAGCTGAAAAGGAAAAAAATGCTGACAAGAAAAATTCTGAAAGGTCATCAGTTTCCTTCTGTGATTGCTGCACTCTTTTGAGTGAAAACAAAATTACTTTGTGAAATGGTGAATTTTGTGTTAACAACACATGGGGTGGCAGAAAGCAAGAAATGGCAACTGCTACTGGCTGGAGGAAAAAATTCTAAACAAAACATTTAAAATGAAATCTGATTTTCTCCCTTTTCCCTCAGAGACATTATGTTTCAAGAGGTGATGCACATCAAATTACAAACAATTGTATCGTTTCTCACATACAATAAAACAAAAGAGAAAGTAAGTTGACAGGCTACAGCAGCGTTTCTCACATACAATAAAACAAAAGAGAAAGTAAGTTGACAGGCTACAAGAAAACTTCACCTTTATCTCACCTAGATTCCCACCGAATGCTGATGATCTCTGTCCTGACAAAAGATACAGAGTTGGACCAAAAAAAAGCAGTTGGCTCTTAGAGGAAGGGGAAACTGGGGAAGGAGAGAAGCCCAGAAGAAGCAGTGAGCGCTCGAGCTGGCGAGCACAGGAGGATTAATGGCCAGCAGCCAGCTGGAGGGAGAGCTTTCAGATACAGTGGCTTTTTCCCTTCAGGGAGAAAAGCTAAGGAAACACCGAGGAGAAAAGGAATTCCAGAGGCATTTGCCTTTTTGTGCCAAATCTGAAGTAACTTTTTAATGAGTGCTGTCTTTTGCTCCTTCTTGTGAAGTTTCAGACTTTCAGGATTGCCAGAAATTGGCAGATCTTTCCAGACCTCTCCCACCTGTCTGTGGGCAGTCGTTCACCTCCAGGTAATGTTGATGTAAAAAGAAGCAACAGCCCTGTATCTAAGGGTATTCAAAGACTTTGATTCACAACACACACTTGGCTGTGAAAAGTCTTCTAAAAAAATTTAAAAGGGGAAGAGGCAGAAAAACTACCCTAAAATGCACTGTGGAAAGGAACTTTTAAACAATTGGGATAATTCCTCTAATTACCATCATCACCTCTCTGAAGGAGCTCTCTCTTCCGTCACTCATTTGTCTCTTTTGCTTCATATTTTCAAGATGATAGATTGGAGAATGTAATAAAGCAGGATGCATTTATGCCCATGCTACAGGTGGGCATTGAGGAAGCCATCAAGGTAAAATGCAGGCATTTCATCAAATAACCTGAGGAAGTGACTGTCTGGCATTGGGTGTACACCTGCTTTGTTTCCCAAGTAGAAATAACTGTTGTACTCATCTGAAATTAATGAAGCTTTCCAGGAGACGAAAATATCTTGAATTGTACAAACAGCAAATGTTTCCCTGATGAATGAAGGCCAGAGTCATATCTAACAGGAGTTTATTTGAAGCAGAAATTAGCCTATACGTGCTTTGCAAGAACAGATACAAAGGCTTCTCTGCTGCCATAACATCAGAAGTGCACAAATACTACCAATCTTCCTCTACCATGTCACGTTCAAAATAATATCAGAGTTGGCCACTGAGTTGGTCCACTTACTAAAAGCTAAATGGTGCCTAAAAGTAGAATCTTTCCTTCATTTCTTCCTCCAGCTGATGATTTTCAGCAGTACCTCAGGGCAATAAAGTAAGTAAATACAGTTGTGAATCCACACAATTATTCAGTTATATTTGTACCCTGTACCAATTGGAAATTGCTTCCTGAATATTGGACAACACTGTATGGATTTTCCATGCTCTGTGGACCTCTCTTTTTACCCATTCTTCAGCAGGAAATGACAAGGTAGGGTGCTCAACTACTCCTGATTTCTGAGCAACAATAACAACAAATCTCTGAATAAACCCCATTGGCCTTTACAGACAATGGATTTTCTTCATATGTAATTCATTAATAATGCATTTGCTTGGAAATTCTTTATACAGATACTTTATATAAATCTATCATGAGACAAAGCATCATCAGGCAACACATTTCTTACTATTAAGTAGCTGAAGGGGTCACAAGAGAGCTGGGGAGGGGCTTCTGACAAGGGTAGGGGGAGATAGGACAAGGGAGGAATGGCTTCAGATTCTGAGAGGGTAGGTTTGGACTAGATATTGGGAAGAAACTCTTCCCTGGTAGGGTGGTGAGACACTGGCACAGGCTGCCCAGAGAAGCTGTGGCTGCTCCATCCCTGGAAGTGTTCAAGGCAAGGTTGGATGGGGCTCTGGGCAATGTGGGGTAGTGGAAGGTGTCCCTGTCCATTTCTGGGAGTTGGAACTGGATGATCTTTAAGATCCCTTCCAACCTAAACCATTAATGGATTAGCTATTCACTAATTATCAGAACCTCTTTTACATACAGGATTTTTTAATGCATATTTTTATTTGCTGAGTAATTTGAATTTGATACTTCTCAGAGCCTTTAAAAGGGCATTAACTAAAGAATATAACAACACATAATTTCAAATAATCAGTATAAATAAAATCTCAGAATTGTGATGTTTTCCTCAGCATTGCATTTATGCATTCTTAAAAATAAAAATTAATCAAGTAGAATAATAAAGAACCATGGCTGCTGCTGCAAAATTCTGAAGTTTAATGAGGCTGTGACATAACAAAGAGGAATAAAGAGCATGAAGAGAAAAAGAGATGGTCACGAGAGGCCAATGACACTGACACTGCTACAGCTGAGCTTGTCCATCTCCAGCAATAAATGTGAGGTGCCTGCTGCACGTAGATGTGAAATCTCTGCTTTCTTAAAGAAGGAATCAGTGAAATTCCTCACATGTGAAATACTTACAATGTTCCTGCCTGCCCCCACCAGTGCCAGATAAAGTCCGGTGTCAGTGCCTCAGCAGTACAAACCAAGTGCTAGCAGAATACAGAAATTTATCATCTTTGAGGACCAGAAGAAGCTGCTTGTGTTGATTGACCAGAATCCATAGAGAAATGTCCAAGGTTTGTGTAACAAGGCAGTAACTTGAGTCCATGGTGAGTAACTTGTGTAACTTGAGTCCACAGTGAGGCTTTAATGGTGTTTGACAAAACAAGAAAGGAAGAGTGGCATAAAATAATTATAATAATTGCAATAATTACGATGCAAGCTGATGAGAATTCCAATCCTAGATGGCAAGGAAAGGGTAAACTCCTTCATTCATACCAGAATCTGCATAAATCTGACAGTACTATGCAGCACATATTTGTTCTGTGTAAGCTTTCAAAACCCCATCAGGCAGTCTGTGCATCCAAACACATTTCTCATGAAGAAAAAAGGAATCCTAGCAAGTCATGGGGTTTTGGTGATCCCCTTGCTCAAGTATCTCATTATTCTAGGGCAGGATTTGTTAATTTTTGAGGCTAAAATTCTCCTTCTGAGCTCATCCATCTACAGATGTATATCGTTAATCATCTAAAATTTGCACAAACTGCCTTTGATCTTTTAAAAGAACTTTTGAGAGGTACTAAAGGATCTATCAGGAATACTGTCTTCCCTTTAGCTGAACTATCTGCCTAACCCACTTCCTTGTGAGGTCATGACATCCTTCAAACATAAATCAATTTGAATCCATGTTTTAGAGCAACAGCTTTGAGGTTTCAACTGGGTCAGTTTATGCTTTTGGAACAGTGTGGGGAGTGATTTCCCTGCATGTGGTTTGGTTCACCTAGACCCCACCTGGTTACTTTTGTTATCCCATTTTGGTGGCCCGATCTATCAAGTGATGAGAAAATCTGGGTACAGGGGCAGTGAACAAGAAAGCAAAGCAGTGACAGCATGAAGGACACTGTCACAACCTAAAAAATGCCTGATCTTGATTTCTTTCCAAGCACTGTGGTCAGAGACTGTTTTATGGAAGAAAATGAGATGGCTTTGTGGAAAGCCTTCTGTATACCCCCAGGGTAAGAGAAAATTCTTATTCAAAGCCCTCACAAATGGATTATTTGGACTGCCAAACAAGAAGAGATTGGCAGCAAAGCTGAACTTCTAAATAATACAAACCAGATGGGACACTTGTGAGAGACAGGTTGTACAGCTGTTTTGAAGGAAAACTTTTCTACAGCAGAGTTTCTGAGGGAAAACTGGCAGCAGGACACACAAGGAGGGATGTGTGGTCAAAGCAAAAGGCTCTGTGGAGATGTTCTCAAAGCAGCACTTTGAGAAAATACAAGCAATGCAAACCCACATTTATCACAGCTCAAGACATCCAAGAATTTTCATCCTTATGCATCAAGTTTAAAAGCACAACCCATTTACTGACACACCCAGTTACAGCCAAGTTATTTATCCTAAAATAAACCCACCGAAGTGTCTACATACATTAACCTTTAAACTGTTACTGCTGGATTTTAGGGATCAAACCCCTATGGAAAAAAATGAATGACACACCTCTGAAACTTGGTTTGATTAGCCATAAACTCAAGAAGAAAATGTTTCATTAAATTACCTTTTCAAAGTTTTTTTTTTTGCAGTTTTAATATTTAAACCACACAATCCTTATTAAGGAATAGAAAGTTTGAGAGATGAATTTTGAAATAATATGAGAATATTGGTGAAAATACTACAAAGTAAAACCCAGGAACAACTGAAATTTCAAAAAGTATTTCAGCACAGCCTTTTGAATCCCTTTCACCAATATTTGTGTGGAAAGATTCAGTCAGTGCTGTGATTTAAAGAGAAAATACTTAGTCTTTCTAATAACAGCAGAAAACATGCTCACACCTGGGCTGCATTTTTTCACCTCAGCCTTTAGCTTCCATAATCACTCATTATTGATGTTCATTTTAACCCCAATACCTCTTTTCTGTTTTCCCCCCTGCTATCCTCTCTTCAGAATGAACCAAAGGAAAAAACCCTGCCCTCTTTAGAACTATAACCATGAAAACATAGTGCTAATTACCTCATCTTATTACCTTTGTCCTGTCACTGCTTACACTCCCTTGTTGTGCACTATCTGAAGTTTCCCTCTGAATCTTCAGCTGATTCCAAAGGCAGATGTGCTCGGATGGAGCATCCCTGCTTTAATGGGTTCCCTCTGGAGCTGGGACTACTGGGACAGTTCCTGTGGCAAAACCAACCTGATCTTCAGGGAGGCCAAAGGGAGTTTGCATGAAAAAGAATAAATAAACCAGCTATTAACGATAATGAAAGTTTACTGTACTCAAAACTGCAAATTTTGGAGCCAGAAGGTTCTTTGAGTAGTGCCCAATCAAGGCAACAGAAAGGATGGGCGCAAGAAGATGTTCATGGCAAAAATAGTGTTGAAATCTTTAGAAAAAGGAAATACAGAGAGGCAAGAAGGACATTTGATCTCCTGGTCTGTTAAGATGCTCCCTGGCTTTGTTTTTCTAAGCAATATCGTCTGTCGCTGCTCCACAACTCTATTATTATAACACGATTTTAAAGTGAATTTTCTCACCAGGCATCATTCCAAGCCCTCACATCTGTGACTTTTATCTTGCTGCATGTTTGCTTCTAAATTTGAAAAAGGTATTTAGCTACAGGTGTTAATTCTTCCCTGGTTTAGCCCCAGGACCATTGTATAAACAAACCTTTTTAACTTTGAGCAAAGCTGGGTATATATTAACAAAGAATACATTTCATGCAGCATTATTAAATGTCTTTTTACAGAATAAGGAATAAACCAGACCATTTCCAATACACTTAAAAAAAAGCATAATGCTAGAACCTGTCCCCAAGTAAATACAGTAAGAAAATCACTGTTTTCTTAAAAATAAAATGTAAAGAAAGTTATGACATTCAATAGACATTAAAAGTACTTATTCCTTCTAATGAAGAATATGTCTTCATCAAGATGCCCTAGTTTCACCTTTTTACATTCATTGTCACAAGAATAATGTTTTAAATGCATTTCAGACATGAAAAGACACATTTAAGCCACTGATGGCAATCCCATTTTTTACCTAATGGCTTCAACTGCTGAATTTTGATAAGTTTTAAAACAGGATACCATGCTGTTTAGCACTTAATCATCTTCTGAACAAAAAGCTTAGCTTCCACATTTTAGTTTATTTTAAATAAAAACAAAAATTACAAATCAGAATAGTTTACCTAATGTCAGCTGTGGAGCACTGGGGTCAGGAAGATTCTCCTTTTTTGCATCTTCTTTGCTTTTTGTGCTTTTTCTCTTAGTCTACTATCTACTATTTTTCCTGATTATTTCTTTTATTCATGGGATTTGTAAAAGTTCTTGGTATTCCTTGTCCTTGACTTAGAAGAATATGTTAAAACATCCTGCAGCTGATGATTGTGCATTATATGATCCTGCAGAGCAACTGCAGAAACTGCTCTTGTCTCTTGTTTGAAAGAGCAGCCCTAAAAAGCAAAAAAACCCCAACCAATCTTGAATAATTATTGTTATAAATTATTTAAAACAATACATATTATAGTAAATTAAATGAAACTCTGCACTTAGCCAATATTTTGAATTGTTAAATGCTTTTATACATACAACTCCAGTAGCTGAAGCCTAACATGCAATTACTGTAATATGAAATTTAAGATTGATGTTTCAGACACATCCTGGTTTTAACTTATAAAAAGTCAAATGAAATCTTTGATTTATCATTTATATTAAATAAAATAACAGTAATTTTAAAGTTTTAATTACTGAGATCATAATTATTATGTTCAATAAACTCATTATGAACCATAAAAGTTTGGCATGCCCAAACACATTTTAATTTCATATAATTAAAAACAATCCCAAAGGCTAATTTTGCCTTCCAGAGCACTGAATATAAACAAGAATCTATTATTTTTATACAGGGAATGGGCTTATCTACCTGTTCCTCCATTTCTCCCCATGCTTGTGCTTTATTTTAGGCGATGTGAAATAGTACCCTGTAAAATAATGATGTTCCATTGCTAATCTTTAGCTGATTTGACAAGAATGGTGTTCCTTTACAAGCAGATATTTTCAAGGACTTCAATAATATTTCTCAGGAGAAGGAGTCTCATCAATAGCAGCTAAGAAACATACAATTTCTGTTTTCTCCTCAGGATCCCTTGGGAAAGAGCTTAACATCTGTTGCAGGCACAGAAGTTAACTTTGGATCCATAAATCACCAAGTCTGTTTCCCTCCTGCCAACCTCATCTCGCCCTCAGTGGGCTGCCTGCAGTGTGCAGGGAGTGGACTCCAAACAAATGGCAGGAAGCACAGATTTCAGGCTGAGCTGATGAAAAGATTGGCTGCAGCAGCAAACCCAGAACTGTTCTGCAAGACTGGCTGGTTGTGGAGAGGGAAGCCTGTGACACACAGGGCAGGGATGATGCTGGCAGCCCCTCGGGCTGAAGCTGCTCCTCTGTGGTCCCAACATCCCCACTGGTACAGCACGGGGACGCGACGGGGGACGCGACCTGGGACTGCAGGGGATGAAGTGACATTCCTCAGCTGTGACAAACAGGAGCCACTGCTTACAGGGCTGCTCTGATTCACACCCACAGCAAGGTTTGGTTTGGAGGGGGCCTTGAAGATCACCTTGTTCTACCTCCCCTGCTGTGGCTGGGGACACTTTCCACTATCCCAGGGGGCTCAGAGCCCCATCTAACCTGTCCTTGGACATTTCCAGGGATGGGGCAGCCACAGCTTCTCTGGGCAACCTGTGCCAGTGTCTCACCACCCTCCCAGGGAAGAATTTTTTCCTAATGTCTAAACAAAATCTACCCTTTTAAAGCCATTCCTCCTTCTCCTATCACTCTGTTCCCAGTCCCGCTATCCCTCAAGGCACTTGAAGCTCCTCTCAGGTGTCCCTGGAGCCTTCCCTTCTCTAGGCTGAACAGCTCCAGCCTCCTGATCATCTCTGTGGCATCCTCTGGACTCACTCCTCCGGGCCCATGTCCCTCCTACACTTGGGACTGAAGATCTGGATGTTTCAGTGTGTGGTTGCTCCACACCAGCCCTGCTCTTCTCCTCTCACAGCTCAAGACAGGATGACCAGAGGGGCTGTGCCTGTGCTGCAGGGAAGCTGTAGATGTGGCACTTGGGGACAAGCTGTAGATTGGGCACTTGTGGCAGTGTTAATGGGTTAATGGTTGGATTCATTGGTCCAACAGGTCTTTTCCAGCCATGATGATCCTTTTTAACCTCTTGTCCATTTTCCCCCGCACAGCCCCAGCCCCACAGCCCTGCACAGGCTCTGATGAAAGGGTGGCAGTGGGAGATGTTGCTCCCTTCAGAGAGTGGAGTAGAGCCTCTCCTGGCTTGATACCAGCCACTATCCATAGGAAGCCCATGGGAATGATTCCCTCTGGTTTTCCCTACCACTTCCTTCATCCCACTGTCCCTTGGCAGCATTTTCCCCTTTAGCTCTATGTCTGTGTGGTAACATGGGTGGGGGTTAGTGAGCACTAGTTTTGTCCCTCCATGTGCATTTGAAGATTTTTTTGCTGTGTTTGTCAATTTTTAATGTATTTTAATGTAATGTATTTTTAACCTGGCAGGTAGTAAGGCAGGCCCTGTGATTATCATAGGTTTATAGAATGGTTTAGGTTTGAAACAACTTGAAAAGTCCAGCCATTAACCCAGCAATCCACCACTAAACTGTGTCTCTAAATGCCACATCTACACATGTTTCAAAACACTTCCAGGGATGGTGATTCCACTACTTCCCTGGGAAGCCTTTTCCAGCGCTTGACAACCCTTTCAGTAAAGACATTTCTCCTAATTTCCAGTCTAAACCTCCCTTGACCCACCTTGAGGCTGTTTTCTCTCATCCATACTGCTTGTTACCTGGAAGGAGAGACTGACCCTCACCTGGCTACAACCTCCTTTCAGGTACTTGTGGAGAGCAGCAAGGTCCCCCGAGCCTCCTCTTCTCCAGGCTCTCCATCCCCAGCTCCCTCAGCTGCTCCTCACACGACTTGTTCTCCAGAGCCCTCACCAGCTTCCTCACTGCCATTTTGGGTGACCTCTGTCTTTGGCAACTCTGTAATAGAATCACCACTGAATAAAAAGAAATCTTTGTAAAGAGGACAGATGAACAGTATCCATATGGATAAAGCAAATATCTTTGTCCCCTAGTATCCTATTTTTGTCTGAGGCAAGAAAGAAAATGGCTCAGGGGTGTGGTAAGGATGTGTTTAGTGCAGCATCAGCTGCTTCAGGGACTTCCCACATTTTAAAATGTGGCTTCCTGAGCCAGAAGCACTGCCCATGTCTTTGATTAGCACTGATGTGTTTCTTTCAGATGCAGAATTGTGTGGAAGTCCTTCTGGAAGGAGTGTGGGCTTCCTCTGGTCATTTTCCTGGTTATTCTCACTTGGTGGCCCTTTATTTTTCACGAGGAGGACAGGCACAGATGGTGCCTCAAATCCAGGTGTGCAATTTCTTTGATTTTTTGGGTTTAAATACTTGTCAGAGTCCTTCTCAGCTGCTGCTGACTTGAGAGATTTGTTTTCCTGTGGATGTGACATTTTCTGAGCAAAAGCAGTTAGGCTGTCCTGAGAGTAATCCTTTGAGCAGCATATAAATGGAGTGATTAATCCACTGGATGCACTTCTCTGTAATTACAAGTAATTACTTTAAAGTCAAATCTGCAAATGAGAATACCTCTCTGTACGGTAGGGGAAGATGTAAAAAGCAGCTGAAGTGGCTATCTTTAAAATGACATTAAATCACTGATTGTTTCCGAAGGCAGGGATAAAAAGCTAAAATAGCGGTTTTTAAAGCGAACTTGCACGTTATCCTGACACCAAATATGATGAAGGGATATTTTACAGTATAAACTTTTAAAGATTTTCAGTAATAAATTTTAATTAGGAAAAAAAAGTAGAAAGCTTGATTTTGTGCTGTATAAAATTTAAATGAAAGGGTAAATGCTGAAATATTTTCAAAACCCAACTCACTGATGTGTAGAAAAATCACTGACGTATCATTATGGATATAAAGATACTGAAAATTACCTCTCTTGTGCCTATTTCAGTTTCAGTGTTATGCCTGAACATGATTCAGCATTCTTGTGTCTTTTCAGTATTACATTCAATTTTTTTAGAATCTATGACTGACTTTCCTAAAGTTGCTAATAAGCTTCTTTTCAAATAATGCTTGCCTACTCTTCTATTTCTGTCATACCTCATTAAGGTGATCCTATACACATGTATGCTTAATTAAGGCTTTTTATTAAAATAAGCCTTTAATCCAGAGGTGCTGGGCCTTAATTGAAACTCAGAGAAGATTAGTGTCCTCTCTTATTTTGGTTTTCACTTTTACTGTACTTCCTACTGCTTCTAAACTAAAATGCCTGTGTTAGCCTTAGCTGATACATGGCCAGGAAGAAATTAAAATTCATATTGCAGTCTTCTGGAGAGTAACCTGCCTTAGTAATTGCCATTTCTTATTAAGTGCCACCTTTTACCAAGAGCCTCCACTTCAAATGCAAAAGGTTGCTTTAAACACTCCAAGGACATTAACATAATGAACACGCTGCCTGTTTGGAAGGTGACTAATAAGTGACTAATGATACCTGGTTTTATCCATGTGTATAATTTTTAAATGTTAATTGTATGTTTAAATAGTGCTGAAATCTCAGATCTGTCTCGAATGACTGACTTTTACAGAATCCTTTTTAAGAAGACTTAGGAAAAATGAGGATTTTTACCACAGGTTAGCTGCACTCATCTGAGGTACTGTGCATTACAGTAAATTTTAAAAACTTTTTGGAGTAGTAAGACACAGATTCAACAGCTTCTGGTCTTCTAGAATGAAATGCATCAGCCAAAGAGCCAATCTATTTTCTTCTTGTGGAGTTGCAACTGGGCATGGTACTGCTAATTAGCAGAGGCAGGTGGCCTGCTGTCATCAATGTCAGGAGAGCAACTTTTCAGGAAGAGCTATTAAATTGTGTGGGCTGAATAAATCTGATACAGAAACAGCAATGCTGGGACAAAGGTTTGAAGCAAACTTTTTAGTACAGCAGCTGCAATGGGCTTCACTGATATAGTGTCTTTACATCATGAAATTGCTGCCCGTAATGTGTTTTTACACTTAGTTGTGTTAAAAAAGCGTGATAAAAATATGAATGTAAGTGAAAGGAAAGCAGTGCTGTTGTGCAGGTTGGTTCAGACTGAATGGTGCTTTCTAAAAGGATGTATTGGCACAATAAGTAAAGCCTGTGTGGAGAGCAGTGAGCGTGGTGAGGCTCTACCTGCCCTGAGCTTATCCCTTAAAGGCTTTTGTTAGGTAGGATGGTCCAGGGATGCTCCCAGGGATTCTGGGCTGTCCCTGCCTCCCAGCCAGGCTCCAGGGTGTAGGCATTGAGTAGGATGGGTAAACATTTGCCTGTGTGAACTTACAGATTTTTTTCTCCCACTGGAAATCAGGACATTTATGCTCCTGGAAGGCTCCAAGCCAGTATTTCTTCTGAGAACCAAGTGCACTGCTGTCATAAACAATGAGAGCCGAGTCTGAACGCATTAAGGAGGAATTCCAGCTTGAAATACTTCTGCTGGCTGAGGAGGGCAGGTTTTGGCAAATCTGCACATGTGAGCCCTGCCTTTGACTCAGCAAGGAACACCATGTCACAGACCTTTGTAGTTGCCCTGTTAAAGGCTGTTTTAAGAGATCTGAGTCAGACATCCTTAATTACAAAAATACAGTGTCTGCCCTTTCTTCTCAGGAGTTTGGAAATGTTTTGCCTCATTTGCTCTTTGTTCACATGTATTAAATATCTGTTTGTACACAGGCGTACTATGTGTTTGTCATTGTTGTGTTATTTTCTTATTGTTTGCATTTTCTGTGAATTTCTGTTAACTTTCAGGCATGTGCTTCCAACTCAGTAGGAAAGCTGAGCAATTTTA